CTTGACCAGGACCACACCCCTAAATGCATTGAAGCAACTGCCATGTGATTGGTTGATTAGATAATTGCATTAATGAGAAATTGAACAGGTGTTCCTAATAATCCTTTAGGTGAGTGTATATATAGTTTTTGAGATTTACCATTATTGTGGGGGGACGTGCTCCTCTAAAAGACTGCCTTTGCCTGATATAACGCAAAGCAAAAGGAAAGCACGCTGAGTATGACGGACAGGAGCCGCCGCCCAGAACCAGCACGTGTCTCTGACAGACTCGTCCATCACTGCTCATTGAGGCCTCGTCAGAGGCTGAACTGAATTATTTAGTTCCTGTAGAACAGCTGTTTCCCTCCAAAATCGCTAGCATAGCTCACATTTTTTTTTTACTTTTAGAATGTGAAGCAGATTAAAATTGAAATATTTAGCACAAGTACCCAGGCTTGTTTCTGTGATTTCTTTTTATAGCACCAGATCGGTTCTTTCACCATTACACCCCCCGCTGGCTGATATGAACAAAGTGAAACCGGTGAAATAGCCTTTCTTAACAGACCAGCCTTCTGACATCATTCATTACTGACTTTTCGACTCTTTGACCACTTTCCCTCTATATCTACATGCACAGCCAGTACCCCCACATGCGGACAGCCCTCACTGACATCGCCCACCCCCATTTCCCACTGCCATCACAGTCCTGGCAGGATATTGCCAGCCATCGACATGGCCAGAACGTGTCCATTCCACTCTGGCAGGACTTTAAAGAGGTTCGGAACTGAAGAGCTGTCTCACAAGCTAAGTGTTCTCAGCTGCTCAGTGGGGGGGGGCAACAGTCGAGCCAAGCTTCCCCCTGCCTGCCAGCCTCACTGTTACCATCCTGGAGCAACAACAGACTCACGCTTGGGTCTTCAGGGCTCGGAGATGAGACTCCTCCATCTTCTTCTCCCTTCATACATGGCACTGGTGAGCTACTGTGACCCCAAATGTTCCTGGCAAAGTGTGTGAACGAAACTTCTACACGACGAATGGAAAGGCCTCCTGTCAAAGAGTCAGTGCTTCTTCTGTCACCCGCTTAAACATCAGGGCTAATATTCACCTTGAAGGGCGGGAAGGACAAAATACATGCAGGATATGGCTCCCCGGGGGGGGGGTGTGGGTGTGCTGGCTATCCATGGATCAGTGCCTTCTAACAAAGCTCCCAGGCTGCACTTGCCCCCCCCCCCCCCCCCCCCCCCCCCCCCCCCCGCTTCTCAAACCCTAGAGGTTGCCAGCAGTGATGTCATCAATGACTAATTTCAACTTCCTGACAGAAAGTGACCGAGGCAGGCATCAGCTAGACTGATGATTCACCCCAACCACCATGCACCCCCCCCCCGACACCACCCTTTACACCTCCGTTTACCTGGGAGCATGCTCACACCAGAGCTCCCAGTTTCCACCCAGTGGCAGAGACCGCCCTGTAACCAGCACATTTTGCCTTGCAAGTCGCTGAGTGCAGAGTAGAACATGGGGTAAAATAAGGGAGAGCCACAGGTGAGGCACTGGAAGATGATAGGAGGCCAACTCCAGTAAGGCGTGAGGAACATCTCTGCCTTATATTAGCAAGCATAAATATTCATAGAGAGTATAGGGTGTCCCGAGTGAATAAAGGAACATGATGTGGGTGAACCAGAGGCTGTAGCAACTAAGAGACTGACACTGGGTGGTTTATGCATGTTAAAGCAGAGTGAGAGTGTGGTCACATACGCCCTCAATCAGTATTACGCAGGAACGTCAGCCGGTTAAACTGCAAAATGGCCACAGAGTAAATTATAGCTGCTGTCGGGACCAGGGTAACAATTAATAGAGGAACTTCAAGGTTTGTTTTCCTGAAGACTTGATTACTTGAGACCCGGCCTTGCCGTCTCCATAATAAATGTTAAATGTAAGAGCCGTGCTCTGAATTTGTCTGGGAAAGGTTTTGGTTCCTGTCTGACATTTGATCCTGCAGACCTCCAAAGCTCTACAGCATAAAGATCCAGGCCTTGATAACATCAGAAGATCATTTAAGGTATTAAAGAAGACAACACAGCTTTGAAATGCCTAAGAAAATGGTATAATTTTGTTAAAACAATAATACAAAACAATAATACAAACTTCTGGGCAGCTTGTTTTTCATCCTTACTGATGTCAGCAACATCGCAGCTTAATTTAACCAAAGTGAGACAGCAAGCGGGTTTGAGTGACAGCACGGCAAGTGGACGTGGTCTCACGGCAGGTGATAATAGCTCTGTTCTGTGGAAAAGCAACACTCTGGACCCCACACGCAATGTATAAGATGCCTCCACGGGAGCAGCGGGTGGATCTTTGTGTCCGAACCCCACGGTCACCGTGTCCCATGTCGGCACTACGGAAGTTTGCCTCGAGGTTAATTGCTTTCTCAGATTCCCGTCCACTTCCGCCAGCTCCGCCAGATAGATCAGCGACCGCCGCCTCAGCGTCGCTTGGGGTCTCGCTGTCAGGAGTGTAACAATCCAGACGTGTCTGTGGTAAAGCGAGCGGGCAGCGTGGTTAGTCTCACGGGGTCAATAACAGCGCAGCTTTTTTCATGTTTTGAGGGTGGGCTGACCATCTCTTTTCTCAATACTGGAAAAGAGTCATTTCAGAATCTTCTGTCAAATGCTTTCTCTTAATTAAAACCATCCCTCCTTCTCTCCTGTGGAAAGTGCAACACAGCTCAAAATGATGACTGACATGTCTTTGATTTGAAGATGATTACTTTGGTCACATTCTGCCGTTTCTTTTTAAATTTTGTTCTGGAACAATCTAGTGATTTCCCTTTCTCACGATGGGGAAGGGGGAGTCAGATGGGGCTGTTAATGCGTTTGACCACAGCACGACCGCAGAGCGTATGTTTATTCATCATCGCAAGTACTGTCAATCAGGGAAAGGCAGTCTAGGTTTTTGCTCCCTCCTAGCTGTAGACTGTCTGGTAGGAGGCTGGGAGGGAGCAAAAACTAGACTGTCTGTAGGTCCCCGAGGACTGAGTTGGGAAACACTGGTCTATTGTATCACAGGGGCCTACCGCTTCCAACCAGAGGGCTCAGGAAAAGCACAGCCTCAGACACAGGACAGGAAGAGCACAGGACAGATGCACACACAAACTCACATGTTAGCACAGGTTCAGGACACACCTCTGTGCACACTGTGTACAGTGCTTGGAGAACTGCAGGTGGGTTATGTAGAGGTGTAAATAAGCATGCGTGCATGCATTTTTTTTGGGGGGGGGGGGGCTGCAGCCCATGGTTTTGTGTCAGATGTGGGGATTGCAGCGCCATCCGCTGAAACCTCTCAGGACTGGCCAGGATGCTTTTTAAACATCCATTAAACCGAACTGGCGAAGGCGATAAATGATTTACCTTCATCCCAGCCTGCTAGGAGGTGATCTTCACATACACACGTTACTGAGGTTTAAAAATACCCCCCTTGTGAATAATTCACCACAGCTCATTCACACGTGAGCAGGATGGCTGCCCTTCCACTGCCTGGAAGGAGACAACATACGTACGTGTTTCCATCCCTGTAATCCTTCACTTACGAACACTGATGAATTTTTAGGGGACTTTATTAACGAGATGAATGCTGTTTTCAGGCTGGGCCAAAAAAAGAGGTCTGCAGCCCACGATGGTTGATGGTTCCACAATTCGCTCAGTCTGAGTCTGACGCAGATAAAGGATTTCGGTAAAAAGACGCACTAAAATCCCACCTTTCTTCCCTTGACTAGAGAGCTACAGTGTCTTCTGCCCCCAGAGCCCTCCACCCCACACCTGCCTCCCCCTTGTCATTCCCAGCACCCCCATCACGTTGCCAATCCTGTAGTACTGGCTTTCAGATGATACCTAAATGGACAGCTTTACTGCCTCCTTATATGATACATTTCAGCATATAATACTTATTCCTGGTTTTAAATGGTCTCATCAGTTTTAAAGATTTAATTAAACTTCTCATTCTGTGCCAGCGCCAGTATAACTATTGCCTTAGTAGTCTTCAACATGTATACATACTTCAACATGTATACAGTGCCCCCTGGTGGACACTTTCAGTTATTTACACGAAAAACATAGGTTCTGGGAAACTGAAAAAGGGCGCAGAGACATAATTCAATAGTTTCTACTGTAGAGGCTTCATTAGAGTTGGAGCGAAATGTGTAATTTCTGTGAAAGATGAAGGGACTTTAATATGTGCCACTGATGATAAGAAACCACAGCCCGAAGATGCTTCTCTATTACTTTCCTCGAACAAATCACACCAACAAGAAAACATATTATCCCGAGAATGGAAACTGTTTTCCTTTCATAATTAATGCTGCTCCCCATTCGGTGCGCGTTCACGCAGCACTGAACCTGTGTCAGCGATCATAATTACCGCAGCCAGTCCCCCAGACCGCGCCGGGCTGAAGCGCGGCCCCGCGATTACAGATACCGGGTAAAAAGCGGAGGGCATAGGGAAATGGAACACGCATGGGCACCATTTAGTCTGTAATGGATGCAGACGCTGCTTTCCGGAATTACGTGCATGGAGTGAATTCTCTTTTTTGAGTCGGTTTTTCATTTGATTCGATTTATTTGTGGCTGAAATATGACAGGGGAATATGGAGGAAAAACTCACCGGATGGAGGAAATAGCATTATTAACATGAACAGGGAACAATACCTATCCGCTTGTAGCAGGGTAATACTCGGGGCATGCAGATGGGGGTCGGGGTAAAATCTAACTCTTAGGAGGGAGATAAAGAGACAGAAATACAGCGATTTCAGATGGAGAGAGACAGATGGGGAGAGCGGGGGGCGGGGGGGACTAACAGAAAGACACAGATTGACGGGGGTTGTGGCCAGGGGTGGACTAACTTCTCTGGGGGCCCTAAACTGACATAGAAGGGGGGGACATAAATGGGCCATTTAAGCTATTATTTTGGAACCGAAAGAGAACTGAGAGAGAATTAAAGATGGAATGGAACATGAGTAATATGCTAATCAGAGCGCGGGGTGCACGTGGTAAAACTTACCGATCAGGGTGGGGGCGGGAGAGCTGTCGGTAAAAGTCGCCGACCGGGGGAGGGGGTTTCGCACCAGCGGATCGATCGGACAAATTTAAGATATATGATGTTATTATATATTATAATAGTTTAACCAAAAATCGTAGGTAAATGGTTTGGAATGGATCTGAATTTGATCTGTGTTTCGTTACTAAAAAAAGAAAAACGACTGGAAACCAGCAGGGGGCTCCCTAGAGGGCGGGGCCCGGGGTTTTTCGCCCCTCCCCAAATACCGCAGGTATGCAGGTATGTCCTCCGGGAAAACAGTAAACTAAAACAACACCCTCTTCCAAAATGCCATATTATGTTTTCACTAACGACTCAAAACAGTTTAACTTAATGTGGACGTGAAGCCATGGGATTGACCGAGGGTCCCTCCAGGCAGCACGAGATGCAGGCGACCCCACAGACCAGCTGGAACGCGGGGAGAGTCCTGCTCGCCCGAAGGCTAGATTTCATTGCCCATTAACTGCTGCCTAACATGTCAGCGGTGAAGATCTTTCTGTACCTATGCTTGGGAACACGAAGTCCGGCTTGTACCCATTTGTCCGGAGGAGGATAATGACTGGTCCTCATGCCGAGGTCCGACAATCGGGGCCAAAGATAACACCACCTCTGCTTCTACTGTTTCTTCGAGCGTAAAACTGTTTAAATACAAATGTGAAATAAATTAATGGACACTGAGCCATAATAGATCAGGTTCTTTAAGATTAGTGACAGATTAGAAGACACGGATAGGTTCGGCTGTGGTGTCCAGCAGCAAACGCGTCCGGTGTGAAATGACCAAAGCGCTTCTCTTCGAAACACTTTCGTCTTGAGAAGCCGTTTGCCATGATGATATTCCAGTGCGTTTCACACAACACTGACCGGTTCCGAGCATCCACCACCGTCATTTCAGCGGGATGATGGAAAAGCGGCCGTGTGTTAAACCCGGGCTTCACCCTTCATTTTCAGCAGCTAAACGCCCGCGCGGCTCTCGCGCCCAAATTCAGCTCACGCGCGCAATCCGTGCAATCACGTCCGCCTTTCTCAGTGCGCGGCTGCCTTCATATCAAGCGCCGGCCCAGGTTCCATCACAGATCCGTATGATCCGCCTCTGTGCCTCCCTCCAGATTTTTTACGCATGATCGTTTATTAACTACATGCTGTATTTTATTTTATTAAAGTACAAGGCATACACATTCAGCCCCAGTCGTGGGTTGTTTCCCGCCTCGTGCCCGTAGCTTTCGGGATAGGCTCCGGACACCCCAGACCCAGAAGGATAAGCTGGTTGGAAAATGGATGGATGGATGGCATACACATTCATGTTGAATGATATACTGTATATATTTTTTTTAATGTGGCTTTGTAACATGGGTGGTGCGGTGGCACAGTGGTTTGTGCTTCTGCCTCACAGAATGAAGGTCCTGGGTTCAGTCCTGGGTCTTTTCTGTGTGGAGTTCGCACACTCTTCCAGTTTCTGCTAGGGCCTCTGGTTTCCTCCCATGGTCCAAAAGTGTGCAGGGCAGGTTGGTTGGTGAGTTTAAATTGGCCATGTGGTGTGTTGGTAACTGCCCAGTTGGTTCCCACCTGTGCCCATTGTTCCTGGGTTCTACCCCTCCCCCCCCCCGACAACCTCTGTCGGGATTAAGCAATTTCAGAAAATGGATGGCTTTGTATCATATTGTGACATGGTTTTAAGCCTATTACATTCAGGCTGTGTCTGAATTAAGGGGGCATTTCTGGATTTCTTATGGGTCCCTGGACAGGGTCACCGTCAGTCTCTGTGGGAGCAGTCGGATTCTCCATGCTAAGCTGCCCCTGGTGACAAATCCAGGCACCAGGATAAAGAAGCTGAAAATACGATTTTTAGACACTGGCATTTTTCAGACTCCCTCGTACGGACTCTGAGGTCATCGCTCACACGCCATGTTTCTCCTCAGCCAGGAACCCGAAACAACATTATGTGCTGAGTGAAACTGACACAGGAAACATCTTACCTTCTAGCACCTTCTGTTATGCATAACTCCTGCCAGATGAATCTGAGTTCCAACGCCGCTTTCCATATGTGGGCGAATTTGTCACTTTTAAAGTGTTATAGTGCCCTTAATGAATGCCGTTAGAAACACATGCAGGATTATATTCATTCCTGCTCCGCTGATTGAGGTCTGCACAAGAGACAGACAACCCCAGTGATGGCACTTCTGCGAGGGGCCTGCTTTGGCCCTTTGCCCAGAGTGCCCAAAACCATCACCAGCTCCCTTAATGAGGACACACCAGTATTACAGATTCAAGCAGACTTTCGGCTTCACTGATGTTTCAGCCCCTGTTGTGTGAAAGCAGAGGGTGCTGCTGCTTGGCAGGTCTTATCCCCTGAAATGTAACAGGCTCTGTGGGTATAAACGTGCCAACGCGCTGCTTTGACGCATTCCGCCAGTGAACGTCTCCCACCATGCATTAATCATGAGGCCCACACCGGCACTTTGAGAACCTTCATGACTTTCAGCTGGAGCACCTTTGTGCATTCAGCCACCTCGGTAATCCTGTGATGATGAGAGAGGCTGGGGGTGGATGGGGAGGGGACACACACACACACACACACACACACACGAAGTGGTGAAGTATTCAGCCCTTCAAAGAGGAAGCTTTCAAGATCTGTTATAGACGTCTTTCAATGGCACTGCCTAATTCCCATTTTTGCACGGGGCGGCACCTACCCATCTGCTCTGCCTTTCCACTGCATGCGCTTATTTCACGCTCTGCGCTGCGCTGGAGAACGTCACCCTGTGGCCACGACATAAATACATCTTAATTTCTTATTAATTACAGTTAAAAGGCGGGAGAACAGCCCTAAATCCAATACATCAGCAATTAATGGAATAGAGGGAGCGGGGTGAAATCTGGCTTGTGTAGCCGTCACCGTTCAACGCAAACCCATTTTATTACGGCGCGTTTATTAGTTCATCCCATAACCCTGAAGCATAACACGGATTTAATCATTCATAAGCTGTCGGTGGCTCTCATTCCCACTCGCGATGTCAGTTCTGCTCAGTGTGAAACGAACGGCGGTACAGTTCATTATTAGCGACAGACCCTGCTCCGTTTCATTCGTTTAAACTCCTGACAATGTCGCCAAGTGATTTATTGCAGCCTATTCGTTGCCTCCTGATGGGACCAGTCCCCGCTAATGGGGGATTATTAGAGGAGAGGTTTCAGTCCACCTACACAAGGGAAGGTGCTTTCAGCAGAGCCGACTAATTGCTTTGGCGATGACACAGAAAAGTCTAATCTAAGGCTACTTTTCAGGGGGTCTTCCAGAGAGGCCGGTTCCTAGACCAGCGGATCATCTTGCTTGCTGGAGATAAGTCGTGATCTATCGCAACAAGACGGATTCTGTCATTCGAATGGAAATGACGTGGGGGCTTGAGAGTGGATGGGGCCTGACAGAGGACACACTCTCAGGCCCCTAATGCAGCCAGACACTCGTGGAGCTTCGATCCTCAGCTGCTGTCACACTGGCACCGTGACACAAATGCCGCACCAAGCCGGAGGGACTCCAGAGTGACAGAGCGCATGGTGTGAGTCTGACCCAGGGGGCCATTTCAGTCCTTTTACTTGATAGCAGTGCTGGGCCGGCTGATGTGTGATTCATTGCTATATATTATGGCTCCAGGTACAATGTCCTTCATATGTTTTTACTAGGGTGATTAGATAATCCATGTCATCCCAGGCACCATGAGCTAGGACAGGGTTTGTAAACTACCATTTCACTTTAAAAGACCTAGATTTTATATAAGCACCAAGTTCTTGCTGTGTTCTGATTGGTCAGTCTCCTATAATCATGCATGTGTCACTAATATTAATGAGTCTTTCAATCAAGGGAACAAACCAGTAAAAGCAGAAGAAGAACTGAACTATTTAGTCAAGCACAGAAGCCTTAGTAGTTTGTAAACCCTGAAGTAGCTCAAAGTGTCTTCTCTGACATAGATTATCTGGTCACCCTCTCTTTACAAAACTCATGGTTAACATGAAATGGCGTGGAAGCCCTTTACTTTTTTGTATGCGGCCTCCGGGCACACGGGGGCGCTGTGATCCGACGAGTTTGACCATCTCCGACTAGCGTCGCTGTCCTCCGCACTGAGAGCTAAACATGGCGGACTATTCGAGAGTAAAATCGACGAAACTGGTCCTGAAAGGATCAAAGGATAAGGGGTGAGCTGAATATCTACCCGCTGTTGTTTGTTTAACAAGAATACCCCTGCTTATAGGTGTGCCAGTGAGGTAATAATAATCGAATGTTAATCAGTGGTTTGTTGACCTATACAATTACTCTTAGCAAGGCAGCCGTTACCCGTTCTCTGTTTCTGTGGTTGCTTTGACGAGCATGTTGCTATCAGGCCAAAACAAGGCTTATGCTTATTAAGGTCCGCGTTGTTCAGCTTTTCGGTAATTATTGGTTTTAAAATCAATAGAGTCACAAGAACGAGTGAGTTGGGTTATTTACATTTACTTATTTGAATATTTAGTTAGTAGTTGATGCGTTTCATTCAGTGGATTTTACTGTTTTTGCATTCCTAAATGTACATTCCTAAATGTACATCCATTAAGTCTCAACCTTTATTGGTGGTATTTAAAAAAGACTTACAAATCACTGAAATTTATAGGGGGAACATAGAGATTGCTGAATATTAATGCTTACTTTAAATTTATTTAGAAGAGGCCCCATAGCTTTTTTTGTTTGTTTGTTGTGTGAAGGTCATAATTATGTTTACATTCCGGGAGCCTTTATTTTTACATCGAGAGTCAAGTTGCTGAGATGCTGCTGATGGACCTGATTATCTTTATCAGGTGTATCCTGGGTATGACGTTAAACTGCATCCAGCCTTTCAAGCGGCCCTCCAACTTGTAGGGTAAAATTTTGGGGTTGGTGACAAGGTTGGCACTCCAGCCACCATACAAATGTTCACGCAGCTCCGAAATGGTAGGCAGGATTCTTTTCTGCTCTCCACGGGAGTAGTACTGCTGCAGCTGCCCACACCCACTGTTGGAGGGGGGGCTCACAGGAGCTCTTCCCCAGAGTCGTCATCGGGAACTGCATCCTTGCACTGAGGATTCTCATCGAGCGCAAACACAAATATCAACAGGGTTTCTTTGCAGCCTTTGTCGATTTTCGTAAAGTTTTCGCTTCGGTTGATCGAGCTGCCTCGTGGGGCATCCTGAGACTTCGCAGGATCCCCGCATAGTTGCTGGACATCATGGCCGGCCTGTACACTGGTACTGTTAGTACTGTGCAGATTGGAGGCAGAACCTCTGTGTTTTTCCCAGTGGATTATTGGATTTGCCAGGTGTGTGCTTTTCCTCCTGCTCTGTTCAGTGCTTACATGGATGGGGCGATGGGCAGGGTTGTGGCATCCAAATACTGTGGGGCATCTCTTGGTGAGGAAAGATTTTCGGATCTTGACTTTACCAACGATGCTGTGATCTTCCCATGGTCAATGGAGGCTCTAATCAGGGCTCTCGAGCGACTGAGCGAGGAGTCTGAGTACCTGGGCTTGCGAGTGTCCTGGATAAAAACCAAGATCCAGGCTGTTAATGACCTCTTGGGCACAGCCATCAGCAGTCTGTCTGTCTGCAGAGAGAATGTCGACCATATGGAGAGGTTCACTTACCACGGCAGTGACATTTCTCTCTCTGGTGACTCTTCCTGTGAAGTCAGCAGACAGATTGTGAAAGCATGGAGGGTCATGAGGTCTCTGGAAAGGGGTGTGTGGCGATCCCAATATCATTGCAAGGTCCAAGGTTTTAGAGTCCTGGTGCTCCCTGTCTTGCTGTATGACTGTGAGACATGGATGCTATCCAGTGAGCTGAGACGAAGACTGGACTCCTTCGGTACCGTGGCTCTTCGGAGAATCCTTGGGTACCGCTGGTTTGACTTTGCGTCGAATGATCGGTTGCTCAGGGAGTCCTGAATGAGGCACATTACCTGCATTATGAAAGAGCATCCATTATGGCACTATGGCCATGTGGCGCGTTTCCCTGAAGGGTCATTGCTGAGAACCTGAGCGGCTGGACCAGGCCAAGGGGACGCCCACGTAACACCTGGCTGCAGCAGATAGATGGATATTTCCAGAGGGTGGGAGTGGACCATGTGTTGGCCTAGGAGGGGTGCCAGCTTGGATGGCGATGTGATTCGTCGTGTGGTGGGTGTGGCAACGGGCTGTACCAGTCCATGCTCCTCAACCTGACCTGTGTGTTAAATTAGAGATTTAGCTAAGCTCTTCAGGGTGGTAGATCTTCAGGATCAGCAATGAGGAGCCCTGATCTATACACACACCGCAGGAGGAGTGCATCAGGGACCCAGATGTTTTGAGAATAAATGCTTTTATCAGAAAATATCAGCATATCCTGATTGTGGGAAAACCTCCTGTATCACACTAGGGGTTGGGTATTGAGAAGTATTTTTTTTACTGTTTCAATTGCAGCAAGAAGAAGAAACACAAGGACAGCAAGAGAAAAAGGAATGATGATGCAAATAGAATGGACATTGTTGGTAAAAAAGACTTTGAAATATTAATATTAATATTATAATATAGTTTTCTCTGTTAAACCTGACTGTTAATATTATCAGAATCTTGTGTCCTGTGCATATTTGAATGCATTCTGAAGGTGGGTACAGAAACCTTTCATATATTTTTTTGACTTCTTCACTCTAGGAGGCTGGTGGGTGGTTGGTCACTTCGGAGAAATCAGTGGAACCGTTTCCATAGAGATGCATGACAGCTCATACGTCCACGCTTTGGACACGGGGCTTTTCACTCTCGGGGCACCACACAAAGGTACAGCAGTGCATTCCAGCCGCTCTTTGTATCACACATCTGGGAAAGCGCCCTCTGTCATGCAGTACCTGTAACTACACCGGGCCTTCATCCTGGGCAAAAAAAACAAATCCTGGAAAAAATATTTCTGTTCAATAAAAAAAACCTATTTGACATTTTATCTGTTCAGTACATAATTGAGTGTGAAAGGACTTTTAGCCTTGTATTAATGTTCTATTTCTTGCAAAATTGTTGAGTGTGGAGCAGAAAATGCAGGAAAGTGAATCAGCCAGGTGCATTTTGAAGTTAGTGATTGATTTTGCATTGTTAAGAGCCAGTATTCAGACCCATGTATGAATGCGGGGAAAAAGTGCCACTTTTCATTTTCCAGCCCATTATATCACTTTTATAATGGCATTGTCATGGCAGCCAGCAGGCTTCCGTCTTGCCGTGGCCTGTGGGGCTCGCAGTGTGGGCCGCCTGAGCGTAATCAGTGCCAGGAGCCCAGAGAGTCCCGTTCCCGTGTGCCGGCAGACGGCGAGAAAGGCGCTTAATGGACGTGTGCTGTCAGGACCATTGCGTCGCGGGATTTCAGGAGAATTTCCGGACCATTCATGTAGGGGAACTGATTGTGATAATTGCTTCCCCCACCTAATTGTCTGCTTGTCAGCGCCCTCGCCACGCTGCATGGCAGGGATAATTGGGTACGCTGCTGGGCAAGGCAGGGTGGGAGACTGCAGGAAGAAAAGGCATTTTCTTTGTAGGACTGATGTATAAGCTGGGAGGCCTCTGCAATGGAGAGTGGACGTGGCTAATGGAAGGTGACTGGTAGAGTTATTGTGGACCCCTGAGACTGCTGGGAGATTATTTCTTTGCCACTAGGGCCGAATTGATTCCCAGAGAGATTTAGAGTGCGCCCCTGCACGCCGCTGCCTGCATTTCAGGTGTTTAATTGGACTTTAGCGGTGTTTAGCACAGCAGTTTGTCACATTGACATTGTTTATCAGTTATAAACCTCTGTATCTTTGTTTCAGTGTGACATGTATATTTTTTAAAAGGACAGTGAACGTGTCCAGCAATCTGGATGTTAATCTTTGAGACCCTGGCCCTTGCCTTTTCCGCTACGTGAGCTTGAACTCCGAGGTAGTGTCTGAATTTCATGCCATGAGCCTCCATCTTTTAAAGCGAGTCGTTGTGCCCTTCCAGGGGAAGAAGGACCAGTCCCCCCAGAGCAGTTCACAGCCATAAAGGTGTCAGACTCCAGGTGAGACCTGCTGGCTTGTCCTCGTCGCTGTGCATGTGCCAAAGGCCCTTGACATACCTCCCTGTCACCTTCAGGATCGCCCTCAAGTCAGGCTACGGGAAGTACCTAGGGGTGGACGCAGAGGGCGTGGTGGTGGGCCGCTCCGACGCCATTGGGTCCCGGGAGCAGTGGGAACCCGTCTTCCAAGATGTAAGTCCTCAGTGTTTTTTAAAGGTGGTTGTAGTTTCAACAAAATACCTCTAGGTGGTATATTAGCAATAATAATAATAATAATAATAATAATAATAATAATAATGGATTGTCCTGACAGCAGCATTCAGAACTACTCACGAATTTGTCTGGCTTTACAGCTGGATGTTTTTACAGGACTTTTGGCCGTTTGATTACACTCATTCTTGCTGCTTTCCTACCTTTTCAGGGTAGGATGGCTCTGATGGCTGCCAATAGCTGTTTCATCTCCTACAGCGAGGACGGTGACATTGTTGCCAAGAGCAAGACTGCTAAAGACGAGGAGATGATAAAGGCAAAATGTTTTCCTGAGGGGGGAGGGGGATGGGGGCCACTCTATCCAGAGGGAGGGCATGCAGTAGGTCTGTAAACACATACCCTTTTCCCCCAAACAGATCCGCTCCTGTGCTGAGAGGGAGGCGAAGAGGAGCGACGACATCGCAGATGAGGACCGGGGGAATGTCAAGAGCTGCGAGATAAACTACGTGTGCGTACATCACTGTAGCGGGCTTGGAACCAGCACCCTGCTGGGCGTTTCTCACTGCTGTGTGTGGCCAGCCAGCCCCAGTGGGGTTCCTGGGCACCCTTAGAAACTTACCACCGACTGGCTACTCCTGGGTTTGTACCTAAAGGCAGTCCAGTCCTCGAGGAACCACAGACAGTCCACATTTTTGCTTCCTCCCAGCTCCCGGCAGGACAGGGAGGGAGCAAAACCGTGGACCATCTGCGGGTCCCCTAGACCGGGATGGGAAACTGCCTTAGGGTCATTAGAAAGAGCAACGGCTTCCATGTCTGCTTACCGTGTTGCCTCCTAGCCACAATGACCACCCCCGGGGTACTGGCCTGTTCCTGTGCGCCCCCCACCCCCCTCAAATTTCAACAGGGCAGTCACATAGAGTATGGGGCAGGCCAGACTAACTGAGCCTTCTGATTTGCAGGAAGAAGTTTCAGAGCTTCCAAGACCAAAGGCTAAGGATCAATGAGGGACACAACAATGAGCTGAAGAAGGCCAGGCTGGACGGAAAGTTCCACGAGACAATGCTCGACCGGTATGGGGATGACTCCCTTTTGGGGTGGGGCAGGTGCAATACTGATGGCCCTCATGCATATTAATTACGTCAGATGGGCGGCGGTTTATGTTAGACTGACCTGTCGGGTTGTGCTGATTGTCCAGCAAGGTGGGCCTCCTCTTGTCCTGATGTAGGTTTCTCTTTGTCATCCACAGGAGAGCCAAGATGAAAGCTGACCGATACTGCAAATGAGATTTCATGTTTTTTTTTTTGTGTATGTTTTTTCCTCTTAAATGTTGTGTATTTTTCCCTGCAGTTTCTTTAAAATCTATAGTCGATGTTCTTTTCTTTATTAACATTAAATCTTTCAGAAAAAGTGAATTGTATTTAATGGTATTTATAGATTTTAAGTGGAAGTCTTTTGTGCTATATAATGTGAGCTTTTACTTATATTGAGGGAGGCTGTCTCTTAACTATTGGCAAAGAGCTCTGATTTATTGGTACATCTAAATGCAATTTGGTACAAGGAAGGTATTCAGAAAACATTTAAACCGTTGAAGACTTCGCTTTTGGGAATGTTTAGTTCATTAAATTCAAGTCGATACGTATTGACAAAAAGTGTGGGTCACTTTCTCTGCCGGATAATGGTGGGTTCTGTGAAGAACAGTTAAATAACGTGTTGTAACAGCCCAGATCGATTCGCTGATTTAAAGCTGGTTCGGGGGGGTTATCAGCCTACACATACAGGCAGCCATTACACTTAGATGGCAGCTCCATCACAGCCAAACCCCGCTGCAATCAGATGCCGTGTTTCCGCGCGCTGGGTTGCTTGCTCCATTTACGCTCCGCAGCCGGATCAATGAGACGCCCCCGGGGGGGTGGGGGTGGGGGGGGGGGCTGGCTCCTGTGTCAGCAATGGCTCCCGGCAGACGGCTGTGTGCACTGGCTCCTTGTGAGTCATGATATTATCGAAATATTCCCTGTTTGCAGGCTGCTGAGCAGTAAAACATCATTACATTGTAAATGTATAAAAGGCAATCGATGCCAATAGAGACCTTTACGGTAGTAAAACAATATGGGAATTATGTTACCATCTCGGTACAAATCTATTTTATAAGAGCCTGTTTAAAATTGTCCATATGAAACGTTAACGTAGTCTTTAGTTTACCTTTACATTACATTTATTTAATAGACATGTTATTCCAATTGACATACAAGCGAAGCAGATAGTGCATCATAAGCTTAGGTTCTTATCCTGCAGTTCTAGTCCTTAAATAGTCTAATTAGGTTCTTGCTTCTTGTGTAGCTCCTGCTCCAAGATTGCTTACGCTTGGGCATTCATTGGAAGTTTAGCCTAGCTGTACCTATGCCTAGCTGACCTCTTGACAACAGGCATGTTTACAATGTGCTATTTGCCTCGCTTGTGTGTCGCTTTGGCCAAAAACATGTAAAATGTCATTTGAGTTGCTATTATTAATTCCTTGAGTTGTGAAAAGGAGAGTCAAGGTGAAGTAGCAGCGTGTGGTTCAGAGGGTTACGTCTCTGCTATCAGAAGGGTGCTGGTTCACGGCCATCTTTGGCAAAACAGTTATGTCTGTGGGCCCATGAGCAAGGCCCTTAACCCCCCAGCTCACTGCATCACTGAAGGTGGCTGCCCTTCACTGCAAAGCTTGTTCTCACCTATGTGTGTGTTATGGAGAGCAAGATGGGGTAGGTGAAAAGAGAATTTCCCCACAGGGATCAATAAAATGTCATTGCAGTATTACTAAAATTATATTGTTCTATGATCCGATTAATCGACCAAGTATATTAACTGGAAGCAGCAGGTAAGTTTCACATCTACTTATATCACAGCGACCATAACCTCCTGAGACCCGACCTATTCATTTATGTCCATTGTAGTGGACATTGTATTTTTGCATTTATTTTTTCACTGATGTTGGGAAACGTATTTATTCTTGTTGTGTACTAAAGAGGACATGCTGTGAAATTAAAATAAGAATAAATTTGAAAAAAAATCTAAATTCTAAGATGTCTTATTTCCTCCAAAGACAAATAACCTACAATTGAAGGACACTTTTTTCCTTGGGTCTCAGGAGGATATAACCGCACTTCCCCTTTGGATAGGAGTGCCCAGAAAGTGAAGTGGTGTAAACACAGAAATCTCGTGTCACATGATCAGATTTCGCTTCCGGGTTTCCTCCCATTTATCTGCTCCAGGAGGGGGGAATGTACAGTAACGTTACTTTTTATTACAAACTACACCCATAATAGCAAAATAAATAATTGTGCTCATATTCAAACATAATGATTTACGTGGAAACTGTCATTCTACTCCACTATTTGTGCTTATTGTACGATATACTCGTGATCATGCGCGCTCGATGCCCCCCATTTCCGTATGGTTCAGTCCAGCACGGATCACTCCCACGGCAGATTTACGTGAAGCTCTTCCTTGTTTAGGTTGAGCTTCATCTGCCTGCGAAGATGGATCCTGCACATCGGCGTTGTCTGCATATTGTGGCGTTTGTCTGCATTTGTCTTTCGTACGCAGGCTGCTTCGTTTCCGCGCACTTAGCGCCTCCGGTGAGTCAGATTTAATCTAGTTTACGTTACTAATCAGCTAATCCTGTTGCTCAGCACCTGTCCTATTACCCACAAAGAAATCAGTTGAAATGATCAAGGATGTACTGTATTGGTCATTGTGCCCAGCATGGGCGTGACGCTTCTAGATTTGTTGTTCACTTTGGTTTTATTCACTTTATTTACTTCATTCGCTTTTTTAAATATATTTTTTTAATAACTTATTTTTATTTATATGCAGTTTACGGAAGAATGCCGCACCGGCATGTACCCACCTAAAGGTCCAACGTAGGTATTACTTTTGCATTCCGTTATGTGAAATATGAGTTTTAAAAAACTTTTCTATAAGTCGACATGACTATGTTATAATAGTTACTGGTTAACTGCGTCCAGCTGTAACTCATGGGAATGGCCATGCTGTGTCATTGACCCCCCCAGGGTTTGATGGCGTTTGATAACCTTTTTGATGTGTTTTCTGATGCCTGGTTATTTGTTTATTAGGTTCAAAGGTGCAGTCACCTGGTATACAGTAGACCTCAACTTACCTCCCAGCAAGAGATGGGCTGCAGTGATCAGTGACAAAAAAGCTGAGGTAAGCATGTGTGTTTGTGTTTTCCGCCTTAGCAAGGCTGGATGCAGGCGTGATGGCTGCCTGAACACGCCCAGACAGTGACCTGACTGATTTGTCACCCCGGCCTCATCCCCTACAGCTGGTCGCCATGATCCAGGTGATACGCGACTTGGCCAACGCTTTCGTGCCCAGCGGGAAGCTCATCGATATTGTAGACAAGGACCTGGTGAGTATTATTGATAATGGTGCTATTTCTCATTCTGGTTTTTAGTTTGCCATCAGTGCACAAACCCATCATTACTCATGTTTCCTCGTCTCTGGATTACTGATCTGTAACAATGTCTAGTTCTCCGACTTTACTTTTCAGATATTTCCAGATCAGAGCATTGACTCTTCCCTTAAGCGCCCTTGAGAAAGTGCACAGTTGCGTTACTGATTGCTGCGCCTGCTTCTGTCGACAGCCGCTTCTTGTGGACACGCTGCCGTATCCTTTCAACGAGGAGATCCGTGGAATCGCAGCAGTTTCTGGGGTGCCTCTCGGTAAATGGAACAGAAACTGTTTCTTGCTTTTATAATCTTAGGACAAAGCTCACACCTTCCTGTGGTGCTCTGCTCATTCTTGACAGCATTCCTCTTCTGTTCACAGGAGAGGTCGTGCTGTTTAATATCTTTTATGAGGTGTTCACCGTCTGCACTTCAGTTGTGGCAGAAGATTCCAAGGGTAAGTACAGCCTTCTTACTGGAAAGGGCAAAGATTTCTTCAGAATGTTGGAAATAAGTTGTCAAGCGAAGATGAACAACATTACTTTCATAGATAACTGAAAAGGAGTGTTAGACACACAGGTAATAGTACTTGTATTTGCATAATTGAGTTGTAGTGTTTGTAATAATTAGATGTAATTGGAAAATTTGGCGTTCTTCTTGATTTGCTCTCTCATTTCAGGAAGTTTGTTCCATGCTCGAAATCTGGACTTTGGGTTGTTTATGGGGTAAGTGGGGGTGACTTGTGCTGAAGATGTCATTACAGAATCCACCAAACCTGCTTATGGAGAAATTTAAAATCTCGAGAGCTACTGGTTATAACCTGGTCATGTTTTGGTCTCGCCCTCTCCAGTAAGACGTACTGATGTCAGTAATGTTGTTGTTAAGGTGGGACGTGAAGAATAAGACGTGGATCGTGACAGAGAAGCTGAGGCCACTGGTGGTCAATGTGGACTTCAGGAGGAACAACCAGACTGTCTTTAAGTCGACCAATTTTGCTGGCTACGTGGGCATGCTAACAGGCATCCGTCCTGTAAGAGCTCCCCTCCCCCGCTCTCAGTGGGTTTTGTGCATGATTACCTGTGCGCTTGGTTTGATGACTGTAGGGTGGGAAAAGTATCATTCCTATAAAGTGGCCTACTGCTTTCACATAAAGTTAAATGAACCACGAGGACTATGAGCACAGTGGCGATGCATTAAGAAGTTGGCTAAAGACTTGTGTCCGGCCTCTTTCAGCACGTCTTTACCTTGACCATGAACGAGCGCTTCAGCCTTGATGGGGGCTACATCGGTAAGCTGTCCATGTCCTCCATACATCTTGCTACATTCCAGCCCATCTGTGACACGGTTTCACTTTCGTTGAGTGCTGTAAGGCTGATGAAGCAGTGGCGTACGTGCAGGACTTGTGGGAAATCCTTTCTGCATAGTGGGCTCTGCTTTAGCTGAACAGAGGGTCTCTAAGCACAGTGACCATGTTCTGGTAGTCATGACCATAGCCTCTTCATTCCCCATCAGGGATCCTGGAGTGGATCCTAGGCCAGAGGGATGGGATGTGGATGAGCTTCCTCACACGGTCTGTGCTGGAGAACGCCACCAGGTAGCCTCTCATCACAGTAGTACTCCCTACATGGGGCATTTGTTGTAGCTTGTGTTTTACCTGTAAACCTAATTTTGACCAGTCTGTCATAGTTCTCCTGTTGTATAAAGGCAATCACTCTTGGTTTTCTGTACAAGTTGTTTGTGGCTCAGGATAAAATCTCTGTAAGAGTGAGAGACAATGAATCTACAGTAGATCGTGACTGTGAACTTCTGCATCCTGATTCAGCTACGAGGAGGCCAAGAAACTGCTGTCTCAGACCAAACTGCTGGCACCAGCCTATTTCATCCTTGGTGGGAACCAGACTGGTCAAGGTTGTGTGATAACCAGGTCCAGGACCCTCAGCTTGGACATCTGGGAGTGAGTAGCTCCACAACTGGCACTGTTTACCCAAGGGTATAATTTGGATAGGATTTACAACCCTTGCAAGCTTGGATGTTTAGAAAGTGATACCGGGATGCATCAGTTCCATGCTGGTAGCTACACTTCCTGAAGTCTCACATGCATGTGCTGTTAGGCTTGACCACAGCCTAGGAAGGTGGTATGTGTTGGAGACTAACTACGACCATTGGAAGGAGCCGCTGTTCGTGGACGACCGCAGGACCCCAGCCATGAAATGCATGAATCAGACCACACAGGCGGTGAGTGTTAACCATGCCTGGGAGGAGATTTGAGGTCATGGAGCTGAGATCCGGAGGTTTAAGAACCTTGAGGTCAATTGTTGAACCATTTAAAACATGATTATATAGGTTGCTGGTTGAAATCTCTGAATTGGCAGAGTAATTTCACAGGTCTTTAAGCAAGGCCATTAACCTCCACTTACTGCAGGGATCGCCGGACCCTCCTTTCTGTCAAAAATGTGTTTTAGGTAAAAGCACCTGCTAAATAAGTGTGCATGTAAAATTTATTTAATGGAGTTAAATGGAAAAACCTCCAAATAAACTCTAACATTGTGGTGACCTGGAGATCCTTACCTCTGTCCTTAGAATATTTCACCCAAGACACTGTATGATGTTCTTTCAACAAAACCAGTTCTGAACAAGGTAAGGGTGAAACTTACTTCTCAGTTTGGCGCAAATGTGTTAAGGACTACGTTATTAACACTATGGTCACCTTAAGTTTGACTGCTACCTATTTCTGCTTGCTTTGCCTTGCAATGCAGTTGACCACCTACACGACGTTGATGGATGTATCCACGGGCCTCTTGGAGGCCTACCTTCGGGACTGCCCCGATCCCTGCTCGCCGTGGTGAAGCACCCTTTGACAAATCTGGTCCCAGAGCAGCTTCAGTCTTGGGCAGATCATGGACCAGTGCTTTGGGTAGCTTGCTCTTTACTAACGTACCTCTCCCACACCTCAGGCTTGTGTACTGGCTGCTGGGACAGCCTCAAAGTGCCATGATGAATATTGTCTGAATTGTTTCTTTAATGAAGTCTGGCAGCAATCTATAGGTGGATGTTTTTCTGTCACTGAACACAATGAATCACCCCATATCCAGTTTTTACTATGGTTCTGCTTTCGCACATGGTGACCACAAAGGCCTTGAGCTACATCTGGCACTGGATACCTTCCATACTCATTCGCTGTAAAAAAAAAAAAATCTCCCAGAGTCACATTTCCACAAATGGAGTATAGTTGGACATTTCTGGGTATATCTACTCATTTCCTTTTCAATTTGTTTAACATGCACTAAATATTATACTAATACAAATTAAACTTAAGTTGGACTGAGTAGGCTGGTTTCATAACATATCAAGCTGCAATAGGTACAGCACCTGGAAGTATCTGTGATCCATGTGCTTGTGTCCTTTGCTCTGAGGGTCCAAATTAAAGTTTGGTAGCATTACGGAGTGAATTAACACAGGTGTAGGGGTTGTCTGGAGTGTGATCAGCCATCTACAGTAGGTCAAAATAGGTCTTGTCTCACTTAAAATTTAGCCCATAGCGGAGTCTAACGATGTAGGAAAGCACTTATTCATGATGCAGTGTCTATGGAAATGATTGATTTATTGCACATCAAGATTGGAAATAAATTCTCAGCCACGTTGTAACTTGGTGTTTTCATGGCCATGGGGTCTTGGGATTGAGAATTAGATTAAAACCTTTCATGTCACACACAACCACAAAAGACAAGGGTCCATTTTTAAAACCGTCAAACATTTTAATTTCAAAAAAAAGGGAACAAAGGGTTTCAGTCCATCAAAATGATTCTACATGTTGAAAGCAGTACATTCAAGAGAAATGACAGACAACCCCAGGAAAAGGGGGGAGGGGGGGGGAATGCATCTAAAAATGTTAATTTAACTGCACGAATAAAACACCTTCACACTGCTGTGGGTATCGTGCCAGAGCAGCAAACGAGAGCAGGAAGACCTCAGAACCGTAGGTAACCATGAAAACGCTCTAAATAAACCTTGGAATTGAAAATGCCACGAGCTGCTTGTAGACGGCCTCTTAAACTAAGGCGGCAAAGACTATTATGAACCGTAGCAAGTAAAAACAAAGCCAACCTTCAATATTCGAGCCACATATTGGACCCTGGCCCTCCAGGGCTGATGTTCACCCCAGAGAAGTAAGCTGGAGATCCAGCTGTTGCCAACGTCAGTCCGGGGAGCCGAGGCTTCACGCACTCTGAGCGCCGACGGTCTCTGCGGGAGAAGCTTTTTGTAATACAGTTCAGAAAAAGAAAGACTGCCGAAAACCAGTTGTAACAGTACCTGGCTCTTTTAGTGCTTGAGAGTTTCCAACAAGAACGGTTTCCCCAACAGCTGTACTGAGGATTTCTGCTGACAGGTTGTTGTTTAGCTGTTCCTCAGCTATTCTTTTCTGAAGCTCCTCCTTTAAAAGATTAACGCAGATTACCACCCTGTCCATTCAAAGCTGTAAAGTAGCAGCAAATGCCAGTGTTCTGAAGGATGAACACACAGCTGTCAAGTCCACTGGAGAATGTAGATTTGACATTTAATCTGAAAGCTTTCAGCAAGTATCTGACTAAACTAAAACTCATCTATACAATGCAACTGCTTTGAGGTAAAATGCTGAACAAGATTTATATCAGCAATACTTTGTTTATTTCCTAACTGCTGCTTTCGGGAACAGGATATATTAGCAAGAAAACATCCTTTGTGACACAATGCTGGTCATAAGATCGGCATGTATACAAAGCCACATCCCGCCTGCGAGTTGGTCAACACCTTGCACATGACTGACAGCTGCAGGGGAAGATCTTCCACTTTGACAAAGTCATCTTCATCTGACTTCTGGCTTAAATTTCCAGACCCAACTTCCTGTTTGGGATTAGAAATAAACAGTTAGCTGAGCTTGTTCCACATGAACTCAGCCTCTTTACCCCAGGGGGTGAGTGGGGGTGGCAAGTGGCTCAGTGAGTAAGTCTCTGTGCCTGTGATCAGATGATCTTTGGTTCAAGCCCCAGCCTTGGCAGAACAGTCATATCTGTGGGCTATTCAGCAAGACCCTTAAACCCCAGCTCTAGGGGTGCTGTACATTAGCTGACTGGTAGCCTTGCTCTTGCTCCAGCTAAATTAGATGCAGGTGTTCAATCAGGTGACATGAAGGCCACCCCCCTGACCAAGGAGCCGCTCACTCACATGCTCATTAATGATGACAGGAGAGTCTGTGTCTGGGCTGCAGGTGGGCGAGCTCCAGGGTGACGTCCCCCCCAAGGCGGCCGGGGCGCTGCCGGCCACAGAGGCCCCCTCACCGCCCACCTGGGAGGCACCCCCATCCTGCTTCTCTTCCATCACTGGAGAGACTGTAGTCAGCTCTATGGACTCGGACCTTTTTACTTCAAGAAACAGAGGAACTCATTGATTCTCTAGGAGTTGCAGATAAAGCATGTTTTTGCCTCAAACCCCTAATGAAGTCCCTGTGTCATCTTCAGGGTGAGGATCAGCATGCCCCCCTCCCACCCTCACAAGTACACGTTCCTCTCTGGCATCTTACCAGCATCACTGCAAATGCTCTCATCCAATTTTTCCTGGCTGCTGTTCTCTGGGACGTCATTTGCTCCCTAAAAATGCATCTGTCAGTTTCAGATGTCCACGTCTCAGGTATTTAAAGTAACATTGTTATGAAAGCCCTCATGAAAGGTCAGAAGGTCCTAGCTACCTGCTCTTGGCCACATGACACCTCGTGGCTGGCCTGCAGAGATGTCTGCACGTCGACAGGCCCCGTCTCAAACTCCTCCAGCTCCTCCTCTTCACCCTCATCTTCTCCACTGCCATAGTTAGTTAGGGGCTGGGTCTCTGCCTTTGACAGACCTACAGGGGGAAACAGGCTCAGAGTGACTGCTCAGACTACGTAAAACACAGCATTCATCTAAGCGCCTAAAATGGGTCACATGACAAAGAGGGGCAGGGCCTGCTTACTTATGGAGAGGGGCAGTCCAGTGCCATCCTCATCCTCGTCTTCCTCCTCCCTGTCTGAGGCTCCTGCGCTCCCTCCACACTCATTTGGTTGGGGGTTGTTGGCTGGCCCCTCCCTCTCAGTGTCATCTTGGTCCTTATGAGAGAAGATAGCAGATCAGGACGTCTGCTCTGCTACTGAGCCAGAGCCATAATGCCAAACAGGCTACAGCAGACATTGTTTGTACGGCAACAGGACCCAAGCACCCGGACCACAAGATAATCTATGAGAACACTGATGTTCAGACGAGGCAATGGTCCTCACTTTGTCTTCATCATGACTGGCAGGTGAGTGGGGCTCATCTGCTTCCTGGGGCTTGGCTTCCTGCAATAAGATTTAGCATGTTAGCATCCATAAGCAGAGCTGCTCGGTGAGCAGAGGAACGAGCCTGGTGCTACCGCCCACCTCCGCCTGCGGGCATTTCCTGGCTGTGGCCTGGGCTTTCATCCTGGCCTTCTGCTTCCCTCCCAGGCGGCTGCTGGCGTCGAGGTCCTGCATGAGGCGGAAGAAGGCCAGCTCATTGAACAGGATCTCTGAAATCTCCACCAGCAGGTCCTCGCCACACTCCTTTAGCGTCTGTCCAGCAAACTTTCTTAGGGAGTCCTGTGAGAGAGGTGGCAGGAAGTCACATGACAGACAGGCAACATCAGTTCACAAAGGAAGCTCTGATGGTTGCAACCTACCTGTAGTATGCCCCCTAGCTGGCGGTGGAAGAAGCGCACAAACTCCTTGCTGTCGTCATTGTGCTGGGTCAGCTCCAACACCATTCGCCTGACTGAGGAGAGCAGCTGGGGGGAGCACAGCTCATCCATGTGCTCCTGGAGTTGGGGGGTGGAAGAAGCCATGGTGAGAACACAGAATCATGGCGCATGCATAGCTGAGGCCTCATTGCTCACCTTCAGAAAGGGTATGACCTCCGTCATGATGGCCTTGATCTGCCTGTCCAGTTGCTGGGTGTCAATGTGGGGACAGTGGATGTCAGGGCTCTCGGAAGCACCTTTGGGGGGATGAGAGAGAGTTCAAAAAGTCTTGGCACTTTTAGTTGTTGAAATGTCTCATTACATAAGAACATAAGAAATTTACAAACGAGAGGAGGCCATTCGGCCCATCAAGCTCGTTTGGGGAGAACTTTAGTGTGAGGTAAACGCGGGGGTGGGGTACCTTCCGTTAGCATGGCCGTGGGACCCTCGGCCTGCTGCTGTGAGTGGTCCTGCACTTTCATCCGGGCCAGCGCCTTGTCCAGGTGGATCACCGTGGTGCCTGCACACAGGACAGGGGTCACGCCAGTGTGGGTCTCAGCAGGCAGCCTCCGCCACCAGCGCAGGCCACACTCACCTAAATCATTCTTGGCAAAGTGGTTGGAGGGGGTTGACTGGTTACTCTCATTATCCAAAGACTCGGCGTCATTCCGCTTTGTGCTCAAAGTCAGCTTGACGCCATTTTTTTCAGAGCCATCCTGCAACACGCCATTCGGCAAGAGGCATCAGGGAGAGACGATCTAAATACATCAAGACGACGACGACGACATCTAGCTGGGCTACGCCAACACACAGGCCCGGGAGCCATGGTGGCTCGGGCTCCCGTGGCTGTAGGGAACAGGGACTGACCGTGTCACTGGTGGCCAGGCTTTCGCTGGGCGTGAGCTCCAGGTTGGAGGTTGCAGCCCAGTCCACGGGGCCCTGGAAGAGGCTCCGCTCCTTCGCAGCCTTGCCTTCAGCCTGGTGCCTCCTGAGTATGTCCTGCCAGGAGGAACGACAAGCACTATACACAGGGCCGCAGGCAAGAACGTGCACCACGCTTTAAGGGCAAAGATCTCCTTACCTGTATGGAGAAGAGCGCCCTCTGCCGCAGGTAGTCAGTGCTGAGCTGCTGCAACTCATGGAACAGCTCGATGAGATAGTGTGGTCGGGACTCGTTCTGGGATATCAGAGCAGCCACCTCTGAATAGATGGTTTCCCGTAGTGCCTCGAACAGTGAGAGATCGCTGCTGGTATCTATGGGATGGAAGGTCACGTAGGTAGTCCTAGGCTGCCACAGCACGCTCAGAGCCTCCTCAGCTGCCTTGACCACAAGCTGTCGCTACACATTCATTCTTACAGCCAGGCTGTTTTAACGGCTTTTGTTTCGAGTTGTTACATTTACCATTGACTGCCATCTAAATTCTGGCCGTGATTTAACTTGAATTAAAGAACTTAACTATAAATTGCAAAATTAACTGCCAACGATGAGTAGTCATTATACATTACAGCTAAACTAACGAAATTAAAGTCCACCAATAGACCGTGTCAAGATGATGAACACACTGATGCACACAACGAACCGTGACCAATCAACATGAGGCCAGGACAGAGCTCATTATCTCGAGGCAAACTCCTAGCTCAGTGGGAGAGCGGGACACAAACGGCCAGGGCGGCTCACGGCACTGAAGCCAGGCACAGACAGCAGGGAGCGCGATGATGGCGCGACTCGCCACAGACACGCGTGGCGATTCATTACCTTGAGCTTCAGCACATGCAAAGCTGTTAGAGTGGACTGATGCTCTCCAAGAACATGCTGTGTGGAGCCGGATAGATACATGACAGAGAAAATAAAGATGTGTAGAAAACAAAAGGGGACCATTAGGGCTTGGGAGGGGCCAGCATCAGAACACCTAGACACTACATCCACTGACCACCCTAACATTAGCAGCGCTTAAACCATAACACAGATGAAAAGGGATTATGAGAAACTCCACTCATCTGATGATCATAGAACAGCTTTGGCACCGTGGCTTGGATCATGAACAGAAGTGTTTACCTGAGGAGATCTCGTTGGCCTTGAGCTCACTGGATTTGCCATCCAGTTTCTTTCGAGTCAACCTGTCCAGCAGGTCCTGATCGGGCTCCTTGGACCTGCTGTGCGAGGCCAAACCCTGGCTGAGCTCACTGCCACTAGAGCCTGCATCACTGTCCGGCCCTGAAGAAACAGTGCAGTCAGTCAGACTGCCTGCCCAGTAACACACAGACACCATCGTGAAACAGCATCTTTCCGGAGGATAAGAACATAAATTTACAAACAAGAGAAGGCTATTCGGCCCATCAAGCTCGTTTGCAGATTTGTTCAGCGGTGTGCAAATGCTGCCATCTGGTGGATTTTTAAGGATATTAAATTTAAAAATCCCACATGCATCCTTATGTTTCCTCACACCTACCCTTGATCTTGGTGTGTCCCTTGCCCCTGCGCCGCCTGCCCTTGGAGCCAGGAGTTTTGTCCCTGGAGGCCAGGCTGGCCTGGGCTGAGGCCTTGCCACCTGAGCGGAAGGTCTTGGTGACTGTGGTGGGGTCGCTGGGGTCAGGCATGCTGCTGAGGCTTTCCAGGGAGCCATGGGCCATTGGCGCGTGGGGATGCGGCTGCTGGCCGCTCCTCTGGCTAGGGGTGCCACCCTCGCCATCCTTCTGGGTCCTTCCACCGCAACGAAACAGGGATAATCATTAAGACCGCACATCTCATCTGGACCCACGCAGACAGTAACGCCGAATCGCACAATACCAGGTGTCCATGACACTTGCAGAAGCCCTGTCAAAGGCCTGCGAGAAGCCCATGTAATCCGTCTTGTTGGAGGCGTTGTGGTCAGCCGGCGTCTGCTGCTGCTCGCCCCCAGCCTGCTGCACAGGGGTCTTCGTGAAGCTGGGCCCCCCTGGTGGGAACGTCGGGTCGAAACCAAAGCCTGTCGCAGGGAGGGAGGGAGGGAGGCTGGGTGGGCCTGTTCACAGCACTGCAATGCTTCGACCGGCCTGCCAGCTTATAGCATCATCCCACCTGGCTGACATCTGCTGTATCCACCCCCGTTTTCCCCAAGCTGATAATATTGGAAGCCGTTACTCCAAATATGGGAAAGATGGTAAATGCTCAATGCAGGTTTAATTCCAAGAACAAAATGAACCAAATAATGAAAGTCTAATATCAGTCAGGTGTGCAGAGGTTAAAAAACAGAACAAAATGCAAACTTTGTGCAAATCTGGTATCATGGCTGAATGAGCGGGGATGCATACCGGAGGGCAGGGGAGAGAAGGGGGCCAGCCCAGGCATGCTCAGGAGGCTGAAGGGCAGGAAGGGCCCCCCGGACACAGATGGGGTGCCTTGCTGGGGTTGCTGGGAGGGCTGCGGCTGCTGCTGTTGCCGGAGGAGCTCGTCCAGGGCGTGGCGAAGCCTGCAGGAGGACAGCACAGGTCAGGGTCCCACAGCACAGCCCCGAGGTCCTGTCCCATCAAACGGAGGCACGCCCCTTACCTCTGCACGTTGGTCTGTTGCCATGCCAGCTGCGTGTAGCACTGGTTTAGCTGGTGCATGAGCAGGTGCACCTGCGGCGAGCCCAGGTTGCCGGGCAACATGTTGTAAGGGCTGGTGATTAGGCTCTGCAGCATATAGGACAGTGTCTGCAGAGGGGGGGGGAGAGAGGGACACATGGCTCATACTGACTGTGCCTAATGTCCCTGTAAAAAAGGGCGCAAAGTCAAAGCCAGTCTCAGCACAGCAAGACGGCCAAGCTCTAGGTGACGGGGCTCCTCGTGCCCTCCTCCGCCCCCCCCCCCCAGCTCACCTGCTGGTCCTGCATGAGCGTGTGGCACATGCTGGTGCTGAAGTCCAGTTGCTTCTTCAGCTGGCCCACCTGCTCCTGCCAGTGGGAGCGGCCCTCCTTGAAGGAGCACTCCGAGGCCCAGCGCAGGTTCTCCTGACGCCGAGTTCCCCCGGGGCCTCCGGCTTGCCGCTGGAGCCGGGGCTGCGACCCAGAACCAGAGGCCGGATGGCCAGAGCTGTGCACAGGCGGAGGCTTGGAGGCTTTTGGGCCGCTGGGAGGCAGCAGACATGCATCTCATTAAAGGCATTATGTTATGGGCCACACTCACACCATCTCAGATGTCCCGTGTGAATGCAGAACAGCGGGCAGCCCCTCTCCCCTGCTCCCTGGTACCTGTTTCTAGATGTTCTGCCATTGTAGGCCTTGCTCTTTCGACCAGGGTACGAGACGTCCTCATTGGAGCTGTAGTCTCCCTCCTCCTCCTCATCTCCCATCTCAGAGGGGTAGCCTTCGTCATCCTCATTGAGATGACTGGGTGTTGATCCCCCCCAGGTGGCCATTGTCCTGCAGAAACGCATTTGGTGAATTACACTGCTCCAAAAGCAGGGCTCCAGACTGTGACCGTTTAGTCATATTTAGCAACCATTTTTGCAGACAGTGTGTGTAAATCTTATAACGAGGTGCACCAGTGCAACTCGCAAATATGCCACCATTTTTTTTTAAACCATCGTCGTGTACCACATGAAACACCTGCAGAGACAGAGAACTTTTCTTTTGGTTAAGGTTTAAGTCTATAGAAATGAATGGAGTTCCCAAAAAGATATGAATATATGGACTGTGTGTGTGTGTGTGTGTGTGTGTGTGTGTGTGTGTGTGTGTGTGTGTGTGTGTGTGTGTGTGTGTGTGTGTGTGTGTGTGTGAGAGAGAGAGAGAGAGAGAGAGAGAGAGAGAGAGAGAGAGAAAATCAAACTCTCCAAGGTCTTAATATGTCTTTGAAGATGAGATGGGCTGAGGTATTCTGTGCAAGGGGGGGGGGGCACTTCAGTACTCAGTTTAGGGCCCTGTNGAGAGAGAGAGAGAGAGAGAGAGAGAGAGAGAGAGCGCTTTCCCACGGCAGGAACTTTTTTCTCAGAACCAGGAATTTGTCAGTTTAGAAACTCTGTCCAACTACTTTGGAAGCACTTATAGCGACACCTCGCTGACTGGTTGCCCACTAGCACTACCTTTCCACAGAAGTAAATAAATAAAAATGAAAAAAGGCAAAAACTGAGCAGATGGAATTGTTTTTGTACCTTTATCATATTTAATACATTAACAAAGACTTTTTTGGTTGTGCCTCCATATTTCTACATTGGAAAATTTGCTCCATAACCAATATACTTGTCTAATATTGCCAGTGCTGCCAGTGAAACTTGCCAGCGCTTGTTAGTGGGATAAAGTTACATTGTTCTTTATCCTGTGGAAAATGACAGATCGATCTGCTGGCCAGATTTAATAATGAAATTAACACGTCGTGGATTGTAGAAGTAAAATACAAGTCTATGTCCCCATATGTTTGCGATCAATCCTCCCAATAACTAACAAATAACCAACAAAACTTGTTCATCATCCATTCTTTTGTAGTGGTGGTGTAGTTTCCTATGAAATTACATGTGAAGTGTAAACAAGCTTTTTGTGTGTCTCATGCTTGTTTAGTATAAAGGTCCCAGCTCCTGTTGTGTGTTTGAAAATGACATGAAAGTGACATGAAAGTGCCTAGGAGCTACAAAAGTTCTTGGTCCAGACAGCTCAGGAACTCAGAAGCGAGAACTGAATTTCGGTGAGAAAGTGCCACATGAAACACTCAAAGCACTACAGCAGCTGACAGAATAGCAGCTGAATCCCTTTGTACATTTATTATCCGGCGTTTACGTTTAAAAAAAAAAAAAAGCACGATTTAAACTTAATGTTTTTTTCCCCTTCATAAGAACTACTTCACTAACTTTTTCCTTTAAAATAAAACACCACCATTGTTATTTCTGTTACCAAAGCATTTACCAGTAATACAGTTAAGATGGAAAAAAACATTAATGTGTTGCACTGAATGTCGATTTAAGTAGCACACCTATATTTAATGCTAGTTAATCTGAAGCCCTGAAAAGGTTCTGACACGCACACGCACCTCTCATCCGGCGGGAGCCCGGCACGGCCCAGGCCGCTGCGGCGTTGGTGCTCTGCCATCAGGGACTCGAGCTGCTTGCGGCGCTGCCTCAGCTCCTCTCTCTGGAAGCGGCGGCGCTGCATCTCTGACCACAGCTGGGTGTAGGGAGACATTGACCTTTAGATATACAGACAGACACAGACCGAAACTGTATCCCCTTCGCAGGCTCAGAGGGCAGGCATCCTACCTCCTTGTCTGGGGCGGATGCATCCGTCTTGGGCTTCAGTAAATCCAGGGTCGCAGTGGCTGCTGAGGAGGTGGTCGGACCCACGGCCGGGGTGGAGGCCGCAGCAGGGACCTTCCTGGGGCCTTGATCACTCGTGCTGGACACGGATGACTGTATGGGGGAGGGACCCATTCAGTACAGAGAAGCATCTGATAGAAGTGCATCGTCAGGCACCCGTAAGCAAGTACCTGCAGGTCAGGACAGGCCCACTGCAGGTCCTGGATTTTCCCCTGAATCTCCATCAGCCTCAGCCGCTCCTCCTGCAGCCGCCTGAGCTCCTGCTGTTGCTCCCGCAGCCGTGCCTGATACAGCTCCTCCCTGGGAGACACGGGTGGAGGCCTGGCTGAGCGGCTGAGGGCCGTCACAGCCGCTCAAGCACCAGCACACGACAAGGCCCCCTCCTTACCTGGCTACCTCGGGAGGAGAGACTTTCACAGATTCGGGAGCATTGTTGGGCCGCTGACTTGGCCCCTCGTCCTCATTGGCCACGGTGCCATCAGTGTCATCGCTCTAGAACAAGCAAGCTCAAGCATCACTGATGACATCAGCAACCGCCCAGAGCCCTGCCCCCCCAACGGCACACAGGACCCCACCTGCACCATGGTCACCAGCTCCTGCAAATGTCGCAGCTTCTCCTTCGCGGTCTGCAGCCGGTGGACCTTCTGTGCAAACTCTGCATCCTCGTCCAGGCTGCTCCTGCGACTGGAAGCAGAGCCCTCACTGTCGCCATGCCGTGCGACCTCGTCGTCCTCGTCCCCCAGGGCTTCGTCATCCTCGTCCTCCTCCTCATTGCCATCCTTCACCTCCTCAAAGGGGCGGTCCCGGTTGTACTGGCACTCTGTGACACAGAGACAGTATGACTCAAGGGCAGTGCAGAGACCCCTGGATGTGACAGTGCTATGTCGGGGGCGGCGGCCCACCTATCACAGAGGGGATGTTGAAGCTCCTCAGGTTAGCTGCTGAGCGGTTGTTGATCTCACAGTCAGTGTTCAGCCGCCCATCATGGTTGTTAGAGGCACGACCGTTGGTGAGGCTGTTCACATCCATCCAGTTGCCAGGTGGGTTTCTGCTGGTAACAGAACAGCTTGTCCTACACACAGAACCACACAGATGTGTCACTGCTGCTTCAAGAACAACCCCATCCATCTACATTTACCTGTGTGGAAAATCAGCACACCTTATGTTGGTGACTGGCTCGTGGTTGTCATGCTCCGAATCAAATATGGTCTCAAAGATGGAGCCGTCCTGGCTGTCTTCCTCATCCTCATCACGGATGTTCTCGTTGACGGCATCCACCATCATGTCGGACGTCTGTTCGTAGTACTGCACCAGCTCCCTCAGCTCATTCAGGCGGGTGTGCACCTCCTTCAGCTTCCTGCTTGCACAGTAATGCCAAGAGCTGTACTTCCTGTGATGTCACAGGAAATGCTGCCAATTCATCTCTCTATGCTTATTCGCATTCAACGTGAGAAATTCTGCCTAACATTCTTTTCAGCAAATACCAAAATTACTAAACCAAACTAAACTACTTATACTAACCATTTTAATGACACATCTTTCCTCCTGAAGGTTTAATACAAATAGAGCATTTTCAGACTTCACTAATAAACTTTGCTCTTGGTATTCTATAGATATATGAGCAAGGAAAGTAATTTAACCAATTTCAGGTCAGTGTACCGGAGTTTGGCGCCTGGACTGATGTTGCCTTCAGCATAGGAGCCACTGGACTCCAATCCAGAGGTCACATGACTGCCGCCATCCCGGCCGAAGCCCATAGAGCGTCCCCCAGACAGTGAGGTTCTCTGGTCTGTGCTACGTTGAGACAGAATAGGGCCCCCTCGACCTGAGTGGGACGCCACAGAGCAAGTGAGAGACCCAACACCACCAGAATGGACTGCCCAGACAGCTACTCCTGGAAGAGCAAAGGCCTCGGCCTCTTACAAGGGTTGTTGTTCAGTGTCTGGTCTCGGAGCGTGTGCAGTTCCTGCAGGATCTTGTCCATGGTCTCCTTCTTGTCCTGGAGTTGCTGCAGAGTGGCACGCTTGGCACTGGCGAGTGTGTGCCTTCCCCGTGCTGCCTCCCTGGAAAGCGACAGGCTCTCCGCTTGCCTCCGGTTGTCTGGAACAGTCTTTGTCTGGGTGCAACATAACATGAAGGGTGAACATAACACATTATTCACACCGTCTACCCGTCAGCATCAAAGTCTTCCTGCAGAGAGCTAGACTCTTAAAATGTTAATTCAGCAAAAAACTAATTGCTTCAAACATGACAAGCAGCAAGAGAAAGTTCCTCCATGATACCTGTGTGTCATGAAGCTGGTTGTGGAAACGCTGTATAAGGTCATTCAACTCATCATTCAGCTCTGATGTGATGCTGAGGCCAGACACGCTACCCGTCGTCTCAGTCACAACTGTAGGAGATGAGGAGAAGAAAAAAAAAAGAGACCAACAGTCAAGGATAGAAGAAGGAAGATCAACTGGACAGTACTGGTGTCACAAAGAATCTAAACTGTATGACATTCTCACATCACCCTGGACCAAAGCACAATACAGTAGACAACATAACTGAGAACCCAGATATGTAGAATATTTGGACTGATACCTGGAATACAAGACATCTATTAGCTAACTTCATGCATCTTATTAATTGCTGTTAACCATTGCCTGAATGACTGTGTTTACAGTGTCGTGGGGGCTCTTCTGCAAAATTACAGATCAGGCGCATAAAGCAGACATAACAAGACTTCTATTAACCTAGGAAAAAAACATGCTTGCTATACAACAGAAAGTGTACTGGCTAAGACACGCAAGCTAGTAGTGAACAAACGAGACTCACCCGTGTCGTCCAGGGGTGGCATCTGCGGCATGTTGCTCTGGATGGACATAAGAGCGGTCTGCCGGCTCTTAAGGGCCCGCAGCTCCTCATGCTGCTCTAGATACTTTTTCAGAAGGTCCTGCTTCTTGCGGGGGTTCTCCAGGTCCTCCTTTGCTCCTAGCATGCGGAGGACATCCCGGCCCTGCAGAGTGAGCAGCAGGCATTCAGATTATCACGGTGAAGGATGGAAGGCTTGTGCTACTGATGACTGAGACCGTGAGGCTCCATTATGGGGTTTAACCCCCTAATGGGCTCCTAGGGAAGCATTCATATAACAGACCTGAGTGTCATTTTCACTAAAGGAAGAACTGCACAGGCAGATCTCCCAAGTGGCGGAGCCAGTTCAGGTGTACTCACCGCGGAGTGTCCGCTCTCAGCGTTCAAGGGTGTGAGGTCTGCCAATAAACTGGTCCCCCCTGGGGATGCTAGGGCGCGAAGGTCATCCTCCCTGGCCTGGGGGGTTAAGGGAAAAAAAACAAGCCATCGTTTACAGTATGCACACATGCCGTCTTCAGCACACGACTGGCTGCATGCGAGCCTGCTAGGTCACACTCACAGGCAAGGCAGTGCAGTTGAAACCCAACTGGAGCAGGAATAAAAATAACTTAGCCCAGATTTAGGTTATTATTCTGGGATAAGGAACACTCGCTCCTTAGACAAAAGACAATGGAAAAATCCCACATACTGACCAATGTTTTCTGCAGAAATCTCAAATAGGACTTCTCTTCTTCCTTCAGGTGATCGATGAGATGAGACAGGTGCTCGACATTGGCTGGGACATCAGCTTTCTCTGCCAGGTCATCTCGCATGGAGCTGGCCTTTCTGATGCAGTCCCGAATCTGAACCAGCTTGGTCACAACCTGACAGGGAGAGTGAGGCAAGATGCATTTAGAAGAGGGATGTACACATGCGAGCACCTGCACACCACCATGCACACACTCTGCCCTTACCTGACGGCTGTCAATCCCTGCTTCGCCCCTGCCGTCAGAGATGGGTGACCCTCGCTCCAGGCGAGAGGAGTCTTTGCGCTGCACGGATGAGTCTTTCCCCACAGAGGCAGTTGCCAGGGTGGCTGAAGTTGGCTGCTTGCTGTTGTTGGTGTTGACACACAGTGGCAGGAAGTTGAAGGGCTTCTTGTTCTCAGCCAGCTGCCTCTGGTTGTTTGCCGCCGTGACTCTGCCCTGAGAATCGCTCCCGATGCTCCTCTGCCAGAAAGACAGGCGCTTGTCAGCCGTCGAGGATTCGGAGCGCGGCGGTGAAAGGCTCTCTGCACTCACAGAAACAGCCTTCCTGACTGCAGCAGGCACCCTGATACCGCCTCACATTTTATACGGGTCTCGTCTAGGAGACCTAGATTTGAAAGTTCTCAACAGATGGCCACAGGTGGCCTGGAAATGTCCCACAAAACATCCCACAAACACTGAATATGCTGCCTTTTGTCCCCCTTCCATGAAAAAAAATTGTGTTGTGGCAGTAAATGAAGCACGGAGAGAACAAGAACCCTGACCTACATATTACAACGAGATTCCTGCTGTATGTTGGCCAGTTACTGGACCCTATCCCCCCACCTGGTCCAGGTCCGTGAAGTTGATCCGTTGCCGCAGCCTCTCCAGTTCTGCTTGTTCCGGAACAGACATCTGGGTGGCATATGAGTGCGGGGTGCGCGCTCGCTGGCGTCGCCCAGCTCCCGGTGTGGACTCTGGCGAGATGCTATTGGTCAGAAGGCTCTCTGCCGCCTCAGCAACCTTCTTCTTGTTCTTCTCAGAGGAGCGGTTGGCTTTCTTCTGCTGCTGTGTCCCCCAGTCCTGCCAAAGAGCATTCATCGATTCACACATACAAGCTTCAAGCACAGCTACCCACAGAAACAAGGTTAATACAGCTGGGCACAGATACTGGAGAAATGTAGGTCAAGTGCTTCACCCAAGGCTATGAAGGAGGACTCCATCTAAAAGGGACCTTCTAGTTGCTGTGCCACCTGCTGACCCATCACCCAGTTGGGGGGGGGTAAAGGTGAATGAATTTCCACATATTGCAGCACTCAGTCAATAACTCAAAGTCCAACTTCTACATCAGGCAGGGAGTGACCCCTATGTAGTCCCACTCTCCAAGGAAACCTTATGCTGGATACCAACACCATAGACACAACACTGGCTATTTAAAAAAAAGGGATCACCAGCCACATTGCTTGACCTGTTTTACCACCACCACCCCCCCCTTTACATTTCCTCATACCATGTTGTTAAGTCTGTCTTCCAGTCCCAATCCACCATTGCTGGTGGCCCAGTTGGCCAGGTCTTGGTCCTCAGCACTGTCATCAAACAAAGCCCCGCCTGTAGCCATCTTCAGAGTGCAAAGTTAGGAGCCAAGTCTGCAGCAACACACACACACGCACACAATAAGCATACAGGGCACCATGTTCCTGTATGACATATAGACCACAACTAAGTTCACTACCACAGTTTAACAGCAGGTACCATAAGCAATGTAAAGAAAAGCAAAAACACAGGGGAAACACATTAAGTTACCATATGCAAGCTTTAAAAAAAATGCTTAAAAAACGGAAACGCAGCTTGGCGTTTAGGTAATACAAAGGACAAAGAAATCAGAAGACGGCGCCGTTATGCCGACTTAAAGGCTCCCAGGACCACGAATCAAGTCATCTAGCGCAACCGCTGAGTGGGTTTGAGCCCATTAAAGACGCCACCACGCTCCTTTTGTTTACGTGCACCATGGTACCCAGAACGGAACCGTTACCTTCACAGTACAGCCAGACAGCAGAATGAAGGCGGACCCGGCGCGGCACCAGCTGTCCCTTCGCTCCCCGCGTCCCGTTTACCGCGGCAGCGACTCGTAACCCGCTAAAAGCTCGGCGGGCCGAGCGTCGCCCCGACGGGTAACGTTGGAGAGCCGACGCGGGCTTCGCGAGGCGGGGCGTCGTCATGGCAACACCCCCTCTACCCGCTAACCAGTTAGCTAAACGGCTAACACCCCAACATCCAAGCTCCCCATGTACTTCACGCCCCAAGCGTCAAACAACACATGATAGCTGGGCAACTCTGACCTAGTAGCACCGGCACGCGGCCCACATCCCGAATCTGACCCTCTAAACCCACCACGGTTACCGCCGCCTCGGCTTTCGCGTAACGCAAAGCTGGTTATCCGCCAGTGTCACCTATCAACATGCTGAAACTTACCGGTGGTACGTTATAATTGCTAAGTTGCTGAGCGAGGCTTCACGCGGCTATCGCGCGCCAGCAGCCCCGACTCAAACGGCCGGCTAGCCCAGCTAGCCTGTTAGCTAACAAAGACAACAAAGTAGCCAGCTGCCGCGCAACACAAACACACACAGGCTAACTCGCAAGGAAACGTGTGTAACCCGCCCCCTGCACCTACAGCCCGAATCAGTTATGCGTAAATTAATCACTCTGCTGAGAGATTGCGGACACATAAACACCGAGAAGTGCAGCAGTACACAACCACCTGAAACAATATTACCTCAGCAACTCTGCTTGTGATTATTTAGACCACCTCCTGTCAAGCCGGGGAGGATCGGCGCTGTGTGCCTGTGTCCGCGAAACAGAAACAAAGTCGTCAAATTACAAAGTCTTAAAGTACTAAACGTAAGACTGAATTTATACACTGTGGATAAGGGTCCGAACCCGTCGGGACAGCCGCCATCTTTCTGCTCAGGCGAGCCCGCGGATGGATTCGTCAGCGCCACATTGCCACCCCCCCCCTTACCCCCGATGTGGCAGTACACGTTGGGAAGAGGCACAGTCGTATGTAACTATCTCTAAATATGACTTTTTAAAAAGTGCACACGCAGATACATTGATCAGATGTAGCCTACACCAGAAGGGGTGCCGCTGAGGCCTGGGACTAGTTATGACGTCGGATGGATATCGGGGGTAATGCGGCTGCTTATGAAAAATATTTGAAGAGATTTTAAATATAAACGGGAAAAGTTATTTTAGGTTACTTAAGTATTAAAAGTGACCAATACTGTTTTACCAGCACTCAAAATTATAAAGCTTATAACTTTAAATATGAAATTTAAATTAAGTCATAGCAAAGTAGTGCGGATTATTAATATTAACTTTAGTAGTATCATCAGCCTTTGGCTATTTGTTATGTGTACAAAAATAACGGCATTGGGGTAAAGGTATTTAAGCAATAACGATTTGTCTTGGTGTAATCCGAAGATAAGGGCATAGTAACATTTATTCTTCGAAGTAAATTACATACTAAGAAAACTGCATTCTCGTGTATGAGCATTTCTTAAATGTGCCTTTATCCCATTAAATCACGCACCGCCCCTTACAGAATTCGAGCACTACATGTCACCTGTCTTATTTTAGCTTATATATTAAAACTGTCGGACACGGTACATAGAGTTCATATTGGATTGATTCGGACGGTCTGCTGTTTACGGACATCATTTTATCAGATCCATCTGAGCATTCCTGTGCCATGATTCACTGCTGGACAGCACCGCTAGAACATTACCCGATCGGCGGAGGGGGGTTCCCAGTGTATTACTGGGAGAGCTGGGAGAGCGGTTGGTGCGTGTTTTTTCCGTGCTGTCGATGACAAGTTCCGAACCGGTTTGAGTCTCGCAAAGGACAAGATCTGTCAGGAAGCCGCAAGGACCATGGGGATCTCCGGGATGTGGACTGGGCAGGTTCTCACCTTTATTTTCTTTGCGCAAAGTTGTGTCTCGGTAAGGAACTATTTTCAGTTCTGCTTCAGCTTTTGTTAAAGCCAAACTGTATTATTTGCATCTGTAACGCTACAGCGGTATTTTTGTATTAGTATTGCGAACACGAAATTTGCGATGCATTTGTAACCGGAGGGACAAATCGATAAATAGTTTTAAAGAAATTATTTTTCAGGTTGGACTGAGACAAAAAATAGGGCTGTCAAAAATTATATTATATTTTCACGTTTTACTGGCTGTTTAATACTTAATTTGTTCTTTGTTAATCATTTACAGGTCATGTATATAAATTTTACCTCTGCTCCCTGCCATATATCTGCCTTCCCTCATATGTCTATGCACGCCTGCTCGTATACACGTCTGTAGGCCCCAGATGAGTGTCTGCAGGAGACCATACGTCTGCGTGCACAGCTGCGCACCTTGCAGGGTCAGGTCGCTAGGCAGCACATCCTGCTGCAGCAGCTGCGTGACCAGGGCATTCAGACGTCTACAGTGGACAAAGATCCCATTGTCCATGGGGGGCCAGTGGAATACATTGGTAAGGGGGCGCCATGTCTTTGACACAATTGGTCCAGGAGGGCTGGTATCCTCGAGATTTTAGGGAATACATCTTAGTGAATGTCTGACCAACACCTGAAATGTCAGCCAGGGATAATATTCTATCCGAATGATTACTAGAATACTCAAATAAAATCTAGGATAAAAGCAGGAGAGGGTGGAGGGTGGTCCTGCTTGCCTGCGAGTGCCATGTGGGCTCTGGCTTCTTGCAATGCCCTTAATTCCGCTGTCCTGCCTAAACATACTCAGTCGGGGCTCCTTCCAAATCATTAGTTGCTCAGCCCGCAGCACTGACCTACATTCACCCAACAGCGGTAAAGAGGGCAATTAAAGAGGGCAATTAACCAAAACCGCACATGTAATTGGTTTCTGCTGTCCAGTCGGAATTTCCGAGGCCCAGATCAACTTGAGGTGTATGTGACCAATGACAATGAAAGCAAACCTGTGCCTTGTTTGTCGATGGATGTTCAGACTGCGCTCAGGCCTACAACGACGGGAAAAGGCAGAGCGGGTCCTATGTGCTTAAGCCCCTTCGGTCATCCTCCAGCTTCAATGCCTACTGTGACATGAGCGATGGCGGAGGTTGGACCGTTTTTCAGAGGCGATCGGACGGCAGTGTGTCCTTTGACAGGTGAGAGAATGCTTCTCTGTTTTTTTTTACGGCAGCAATTTGCTCTCTGACCATAAGAAAGCATTTCTTGTAGGGCCTGGGCGGAGTACAAAACAGGTTTCGGAAATCTTGCATCCCACACAGGAGAATTCTGGTTGGGAAATGATTACCTGCATTACCTGACATCTCAAGGTAAGATGCAATGACTTGGTGTAGGGTGTGTGTGGTTCTAGCATATGCTCCGAATGGGACCCCGTATTCGCTGTGGGTAGATCTTAGCGCACTCGTGCATGATCTTCGATATATGGATCAAATCACAAATATTTCAGTGTCTTACAAAAAGGCTCAGAAAATTAGTTATTTGCTGTAAATTGGCACAAATTCTCAGAAACACAAAGTAAGTAAACAGTTTTTCGCCTTCGCAGGGGATTACGCCCTCAGAGTCAATATGGAGGATTTTGATGGCAATCAGCGTTATGCAGTGTACAGAAACTTCAAAGTGGCCAGCGAAACGGTGAGCCTGTTTTCTCCCGCTGTCTTCATTTTAAACAGTATCCATGCTGCCCTGCATGCTGCTCCTCTGCCGACTGACATTGTCCTTCTGCTTAAGGTTCATGGTTTTTATAAGGTCACGAAAACTGGGACGCAGTCCCAGGCCAGGGACATGAATCAAAACATTGCTTCCATTTTAAAGCCTTAAGACAGAGTACATGTTCGGTAGTAAAGCCCCACTTTCCCCAGAACGGGTACCAGCTGCAGTTCGGTGAGTACTCCGGGACGGCGGGCGACTCGCTCGCAGGCACTTACCACCCAGAGGTGCAGTGGTGGGCAAGCCACCAAGGGATGAAGTTCAGCACGTATGACCGTGACCACGACCGCTATGAGCGTAACTGCGCCAGGGAGGACAAGGGCGGCTGGTGGTTTAACAGGTTTGCTCTTTTTAAAAAAAAAAATATATATTTATGGTTAGTTGCTAGCCAAGGTGACCTCAGGTGAATTTAGCACATTTATACATGTCAGTGTTTCACAGTGAAAGTTAACACATAGCACAGGTTAGCTGGTTTGGCACTAAATCCCACAACCTTAAGATAAATGCAGAACATTATGGTTTATGGATACACAGTAGGCAGGGAAGCAGACTTCGTATGTGAATGTAAGTGAAAGTGTCATAGTACTAATATTATTAGCTGTCAGTATTATTATATTGCTGATTAGCATGGCTAGTTGGTTTTAATTCTGTAAGATTACTCATGATAAGAAACCTCTTTCATTGCAAGAAACAGTCTGGAGGTTGATCCTTGTGCTGTTGTTTGATTATCCTCTAGATGTCACTCTGTGCACCTGAATGGTTATTACTATCAGGGTCCCTACAGCGCAGCCACTGACAACGGCGTGGTCTGGTACACCTGGCACGGGTGGTGGTACTCCTTGAAATCTGTGGAAATGAAAATCAGGCCTATGGACTTTGAATCGGACCAATCATGAACCAGCATTTTATGTAACTCTCTTAATTTCATGATTCCTTAATTACTTACTGTATACTAATGATTATATTAGCAACACATATATAGTATATATTTTTATGTGCTAAAACTTGCTATAATTTGTGCTAAAACGTGCTAAAATACATCCATGTGTCTTTGTTCTAGTAGCAAATCATGTTATTCATGTTAGCCTAATCTCTTGGGAAGGTTATAGATTGTCCGTCATGCCCTGAGATCATGTGTTCTAGTTGGGCCTTCCATGCAGTGATCACTCTGATCGTTTGTATTTTGAATGTGACTCCTCTTTCTAATAAACTTGCTAAAACGTGAAGATACTCGTCACAGACATCCATACCTCAGATTCCATGGAGTTTATTCCTAGCTGTAGGATATTCCGTCAGTGTTTTAATAAACAGCCATGGTTTGCATGTAAGGACCAAGCGTGGTAGGGTTAGCTGAGCCCCAGGGAGCAGCGTAGTGCAGCATGGAGGGTGGGTGGAGGTATGAGGGTTGGGGGGGGGTGGGATCTAGCTGCATGGGGGAGGTGGTGTAAGCCAGAGTGACTAGTAAGGCAATGGGCATTTAAGCAATGCAGGTTAAGTGTGAGGTTTGGAAAAAAGGGACATAATGAATATATATATATATATATATATATATATATATATATACATTTATTGGAAATGTTCAAATGAAAGAAAGGCTGTTAACAGACACCTCATGTCAAAGTAATGTGTTGCACAAGGTAGAATGATGGTCAGGATGAGATGTATTATGGTACGATAAACCCAGGAATGCATCTCCCGGGAAACAATGACACCCAGGTGTGTGTTTGTGCTACAGCGGATGGACATTTATCATCACAGGTGCCAGTATCCTGATTATTATGTCGTCATGGAGAGCAGTCCTGCTTTGCACAGGGACATGACTTTTTGTCACGCCCCGTGATCAGGGGTATGGGCGATCTCGCAGTATCCGTCAGGCCAGATGGGGGACGGGGCCAGTTGTAAGGCTGGCATTTGGGAAATTTATTTTGTGAAGTTTTATCAAAGACAGCTGAGTCTTGCTGGAAGGTAATTGTTTTCCTTCCTGGACCCAACACACCTTTTCAGAGAACATATCCTTTCAGTGGAACAAAGGATGAAATTCAACACGCCTCTGCGCCTACATGTTCTACAGACTCTGGCTGGACAGTCTGATGGGGGTGCAGACAGAGGAAGATGGAAAGCAAAAACACCGGCCTTGCACATCCGATGATAACAACAGACGTTTTCTCTCTTACTTTTTGTGCAGTCAGTCCCTGTAATTAAAGCTTTTCATGTGTAATTACTGGGATAACAAAGAAAACAGTTTCGTTTAAAAAAAAACAAACTACTTCTGCTTGTCGTGAAGTGTGGTGAAAGAAGTGTTAAAACAATTTTGATGTCAGGATAGTTTAAAAAGTGCTGAACGATTTTGATCACGTAGCTTTCTGGCACTGATAGTATATGCTTCTCCTATACGGTTCGATAGTGTTTGCTTTCATATTCGTCCCTTGTCTTTGTGGGACGAAAAACGGTCAGTGAGGTTAGATGGTGCCGTTATCTACACAAAGAGGCGCTTCACTGGGGGACGGACTTTTCTCGTTGTCTTGGCAACTTGTGACTTTTGTTCATTGTTATATCCGCTTTGGACTAACGTACCGGCAAGACAAGGAGCACAGGCGCGACACAAAGAAGCACAGGGGACGCGCACTGTGTGCGCGGACCTAAGAGCATGAATGCGCGCGACTGACATACGGCCGTTCTGACGATTAGTCACAGTTGCCACTGTTGTATTTTGTATTTATATTTAAGTTCGTGAGTAGCGTTAAGTGTATGCTGACATTTTTATTAACGGAAACAAGGTAGACAGGGTTCATGCATCATACGCCATTAAGAATAAGAAGTAAGAAATGTGTTTTAAGCAGGGCTCGAGTTATGGGATATGTCATGTGATACAAGTATAAGGGCATAAAAAAAACAAAAGAAAAAAACAAGTGGAAGCCATTTCCACGGAGGGAAAGATGTGAAAACCATCTCTTTTAAAAATATATATCCCCCCTTCCCGCCTGAGTACCCCTAAATTGTCCTGTGTAATTTCACCCACTTAAAAAGTCTCTGGACTGTTTCAGGGCGGACTCCTACGTGAAACAGCCTAAGGATGCACGGTGACGTCACACAGGTATAAAGGAGGCTGGAAAACGCGGTGCTGTTTTCCTCCGCCGGACAAGCTGCTCTGATTTCAGTAAGTAACTGTCATACAGGCGACAACTTAGGCCTAAATCATGCTTTTCATACCATTGCCCCCCCTCCTCTGCAAAATGTATCCCGGGCCGCCGAATTGAAAAGTAATGACTGGGCGCTCCACGTGGTCGGAAGGGTTGAAAAACATCGTCTTAACCTTAACGATCAGATATACTCGCGTTGCCGGACTCGGTGTGTTTATGATGCGTCTCATGGTGATTTGCGGCGGTCCATGACAGATCGCAGCTGTCCAGTGGTGTATAGAGTGCCTGAACACCGGACATTACTAAAAGAGGAGATACCTAACTACTTAAATGACTGATGAAATTTAAGGCGCCCATTAAAGTACCACTTGAGTAAACGTCTTGAAGTATCTGATATTAGCGGCTTAAGTACCTTAATACTTAAGCTTGTATTAAATGCAGGTTTAAGTAAAATAGTACTAAACAATCCGCTGTATATATAATAGCCTTTTATATTGCAAAAGATTAACTAGGTGCTGTGAGAATGACAGCAATGTATTCCTCAGATGGCCCTGTCACTCCCGTTTAATCCCTCCTCCGCCCACATGCCCCCATACTCCACAATCTCTACACCACCACCACCACCCCCCCCCCCCATACAGTCTCCCCACTCTCCAAAAAATCTTTATAAGCAGCCCAGCTTTGTGTCACTTGTCTCAATGTTCTAATTTAGTTAACCAGATTTACATTTATGATTGACCTTTCGTGTGCCACCACTAAGACACACTGCTTCAGTTTTTGTACAATTTGTCTCTAAATTAAATAGCCCCCCAGATAATTACTTATATAATGTTACTGGGAAATTTCAAAAAGATTCATAAAATAGTTTTAGCGTTACTCTGCCCTCGAGATCCTTCCTTTGCTGCCGCTCAGCACTGTTGCTTTAAATTTGGTACGATTTGTCTTGAAATGAAACAAGCTGCAGATCTTCATCCATATAATTAGGGATGCACAGATGATATTTTCCAAATCGAGTACGAGTACCGATACTCGCTTCCTGGTACTCATCGATAGCATATAGGGCTGTGCGATGTCTAAAAAAATAATGACCTAAAATGTTTTTGACCGGAGCAGAAGTCTCAAAAATGCTTATAATGCCAAGAGAAACTCACATTAGCATGTTTGTGAGCGCGAGTTTATAATTCGATTTTGTTAATCCGTGTAAGTAAAGCTTTTAGAAACTGGTTTATGTTTGGTTAGCATCTCGTGACTGTTAGGATGTAAATCACACTATGTTTGTGTGTGTTGTGCAAACCGTTTAGGTGTTATTTAGCGTTCCATTTCAGGATGGTCGTTTTTTGTAGTATTTTTTTAATGGGGCACGCAGGCTGGGGGCTACCTTAAAAATATTGGGATAAACGATAATATTTTAATCCCTCCACTGATTACCGTTTTTTAGTCTGTGGACTGTGGTAGATCGGCGGGTTAAATACCTCGTACCACCATCACGGCACCGTTCCTGATCTATACTGGTAAGCGCTTCTGTTGTCACTGCACGAGGTTTATCGCTTGGCATTTTCTCTCCGTGCTCGTGTTTGCTGCACGTTTTGTTGTTGCAGAGTTTTGCTGCTGGTCGCAATCTCGTCGAACTCTGTTTGGTTTTTAGATGTTTAATTAGATTACCAGGTTTTGGGTTTCGTTGTTAACTTTGAAGTATTTCCATTCTGCATATAATTCGTCCCGTTTACTCTGCTCTTTAACTGGTCTCGCTGATACGTGGTATCGGTAATGGGTATCGGCACACTGTCACTCGGACGAGTACTTGTGTGCAATGTTAGTAAGATCCATTAAATATTTAATCGAATTCACAAAATCAAGGGTCTTTTGCTGTCATTCTTCCCTTTGCTGCCACTAAGTGGCGTTGCTTCAGTTTTGCTGAGATTTCTCTCAAAATAGTGACAAAACTACTATATGGAGTTCCATCCATCAAATGCCATTCTGCCTTATCACCAGTGCCAAAGTCATATGTATTCCCAGTTATTTGTGTTTTTTACTATGCTACTGTAGACAAAATTAGGTTGACCTTGCGAAATGTAATCAAATAATGGTTGTCAATAGCCATAGTGTATAAAGTACAGATTTTTTTTATAATTGAAGGTGAGTAGAAAGTGAAAGTTGCTAATATTGTTAATTGTCAAAGTATAGAGTACGGTAACAAAGTACAGTTACTCAAGTTGTAGAGGCTGCTTTCAGAGTGGGGTACTCCACACTGCGGCCCATCTAACCACCTGATCCGCTTAGTGACTCTGGGCTGGGAGTACACCAGTATTTGCTCTTTGTACTAATGTGGGATCTTCGGTGTGCATCTGATGGCACTATGTGTCGCCATGCAGAGTGCATACAGTTACATCAGTAATGCAGTGCATCACTGGCAGTTTGTTGGCTGCTGCGCCTCTTGTTGTATTAGAACAGGCTTTTAGGGCAGCGTTCCCTGACCACACTCTCTGCCTGATGCATGTGTGTGAGCCGCAGCCCTGATTAACCCTGACAAAATGCTGGATGCCATCCAGAGGGAGCATTTTAATTAAAGATGGGTGGCCCTTGGGGGGCACTTTCATGCACAGGGTTACCCAGCCTGAAGCCCAGGGGCCTCTGCCGAAAAGGAGCCCTGACCAACCCCGTTAATCAAACTTTAATCCTTTACTGAAGGCTGGTGACGGATGCAGGTGCAGCAGGACTCGGTGGGGGGGATTTATACCACGTGCGGCCTTGCCAAGTTCACCCTTGAGGGCTGTTTCTGGATCAGTTGCTCTGGCATGTGAACCTTGCGGGTCAGCTGGAACAGGCAGGGTGCAGTGTGAGCAGCAGGAGTGATATATAATGCACTTATTCCTGGCCATGTCGGTGCCTGCCGTGTGTTGCCTGTTCACTACGGCCATGTTGTCCAAACCATTCCTCCGGAACCCACAGACTGTCCACGTTTTCGTTCCAGCGGTAGCAAAAATGTGGACCGTTCGGCATGGAGCTGGGAAAGGGCAGAAGCGTGGACGGCTGGGGGCCCCTGAGGGTTGGGTTGGGGACACACTGCCCTGCTGGTTCCATCACACACAGGGTCCTGCTGGAGTGTGTGCAGGGGAAAGCTGATCTGATGTAACCGGACCTCAGTGCACGACCCGATGGGCTGCGGGTGTCTGTGTAGAGTTACCCTTCCCTCTGGGGTGAAGCAGGTTCTGCAGGTGAGTGCGATCTGGTTGTTAGGGTGCGTGAGGTGCTGTGTGCTGTCGGCTTCCTCCCCTTCAAGAATGCCCAAGCAGAGGCACAACTTCCATTTCTGCTTCCCGGCGGGTTCTTGAATGCAGTGATGGATCATTATTCTGCTCCAGGCTGCTAAGTGCTTGGCCTCAGAGGCTGTCTGGAGACTCCTGTAGTCTGGGTCTCCCTCTGGGTCCTGTGCTAACTTAGGTCTGTACTCCCCAGGGCCAAACAGATTCATTCATGTTGCTCCACCCCCACCCATCTTCCCCCAAAGTTTTATTTAACCACTGTTAATTAGCTAGCACCCCCCACCACTGAGCCACACTCGATCAAAACCATTAGGCAGCCTTTCTTACTCAAGTGCCAAAGGTTGTGTGTTGGAACAAGGTCTCCAGCTGGTTCACAGTGTGGGGCCAACGTGTCCGTTTGATGGCTGTGTTTAGGTTGTTCAGCTAGCGATGTTGGTCGTGTAGATAAGAGCTGAGCTCCCATGCCTGACTTGGCTGATCTTTGTCCAGAGCTGTCCTGGGGGCAGTGAGGGGGTCAGTCTGACCTCCATGTTCTGTGATTACTCTCTCCCGGTCATATTCAGTACTCCCATGTGATGCTCTTTGGCGCCCCCTAAAGTGAGGCTCAGTAGCCATCCCCCACCCCAGTGAAAGGCTTTAAGGTTCCATTTCTCATGCTTAGAAGTTCTCTTGTCAAACCCTTCATTACTGGTAGTTGGCGTCACTAATCCACCTGAAGGGGCAAAGTCTCATGAAGGAGACAATAGATTATTTTGGCTTTTAGCCTCCCCAGTGACTGCCCACTGATTAGCATTCGTTTCGCTGCTTTGTGACCATGAGCTTGAAGCTAACGGTTTAACGCTCTAGATCCCTCTGAGCTGGACAGAGGAACACCAGCCTCGCTGAGTAAGTGATGGCCAGGAGTATTAATCACCTTCATCAACTGACCTGGCATCAGCTTAACTTCAGACTCGACAGTGAGCTGGTTCCAGTTACTAGGGTTATTAAAGTCACATCTGTGTTTAATGTGACACTTTGGGCTAGAGGCAGAGGCATCGTGATTCTAGTGATGAGTGGCGAGACTTTGGAAGAGCTGTGGGGGGTGGGGGGGCATCTCATGGCAGTGTGGGTCTTCAGGCTGAGCTGGAGATCCTCCGAAGCCCATAGGTAGCTGAGGGTGAAGCTGTGTACTGGCCGACTTTACGTTTCACCCTTTAACCTGTTGCGCGGTTAAATATTAGAGATCGCTGTGAAGTGACACTGGCTACGGCTGAAACTGGACTGAACTGCTTAGGCTCAGGAGCTCAGGAGCTCATCACGACGCTGTGGTTATGTGTCTCTGTCCGTGTCAGATGTAGTGGGCCACCACACCCTTGAGTCTGCAGACATTCCTTGAGTCCAGCAGATGCCCTTTTAGGACCCGAGCTCGGTGAATGTTTTGCAGTGTGCCGCCTACCCGGTGGGGGGGTTAGGGGGGCAGCAGGGCTCTGCCACATTGTGGGGGTGTCAGTCACTGACTCAAGGTCGTCGAGGTGTGGCGGGTTCTCTCCTTTGAGAGCAGTGTGGCGGGTTCTCTCCTTTGAGAGCAGTGGCACAGTGCAGAGGGCCTGTGCTTGGATTGGACTGGGTTAATTTGTAGTTAAGGGGGGGGGGGATCTTACACCTCTCAGGTTTTCCAGGATTAATTTAATCTTCCCTGTTCTGTTGGTTCTGCCTGCACTCTTCCCCTGTATCCTGGTCACTTTCCAGACAGAGCTGCATTGCTGCTGCTCCACTGCCCCATTACAGAAAGGGCTGGGGGGGGGGGCTGTTCCCCGCTGCTTAGCGACAGTGAATGCTGATTCGCTGTGATGGCTCCAGGCCACTCCCACTAGCCGCCTGCCCCGGATCAGGTGATTGTTTGTTCTGCTCAACCCCGCAGAAAGCCGGGCTCCACTGGACCTTGAACCGTCGTGGCTGGCTGGGGGAACGGGCTGATCACAGCTGGCAGGTCGTAACCGTGTGCCGTGCAGACACAAGCATCCCCTATCCAGGGGCCCTTGCCCCAGAGATCTCGGTCTGTGTGCGCCTCGGAGGGTGGCCGGAGTGTCCCGAGCTGTGCCGGGTGTGCTCGTCCAGCCGCGGCCCGCCATCTGAGTCCTCTGCAGCCCGGTAAGTGTGTGTCGGGCGGCTGGCTGCTTCAGTGTGCGTGGCGGGTTCCTGGCTGTGCCGTGAATCAGCAGGAACTGCCGCACCCCCCTGCCCGCTGTCTGAGTTCCACTGGCTCCAGCTCCTTATTCCGTCTGTTGGTCTGGGTTTTTCGACACCAGTAATGGCTTCCTCCCCCGCTTCGTGGGATCATTGCAGTTTTCCGATTCAGGTTCCGGAATGCTTAGGGCTCGGAATCCAAACTGCAGTGGTCTGCCTAAGCGCAGCCTAATCCCTAAATCATTTTGTGGTTTGCGGGAGCCTTTGCAAGCCTGACAGCGTTGCCGGGATCTCTCAGGCTGCTTAGGGCCCAAGTGCTGATGAAGGCAGTGAGATCAGCCTCTGGCATCCAGCACCAGGTGTCCTTCTGATGCCTGTGACACCCAATGCCAGGGATACTGAACCTGCCATTTGTGTTTTTTTTTCCTGCCTTTTGAACCCTCATCAGTGATGGCTTCTCAATGAGGAGGAACCCAGCCAGCTCTCTCTGCATCTGATCGTGCTTTTTGCTTCTTTAGGTTCCATGCTTGAAGTGGGCCGGTACTCACTGGTACTCAGTACTAGCACCTCTTTGTTTTTGTCTTCTGAGTACCGGCACCTCTCAGTATCTGCTGGTACTGAATACCAAGGGGAGTTACTGGGTCCTGGTGCTGAATACCAAGGGGAGTACCCGCACCTGTTTTTCTCCACTTCAAGTATTGTGTAGGACTAGACAACTACCTCCTCTGAGCCTGTGTCTGTGACTCTCTGACTCTGCCAGCCTGCCTATACCCCTCATCATGCTTTTCTCATGACGTGTAGGCTCACACAGCTCATTCAGCGTGTGTGAGTGTGTGTGTGTGTGTGTGTGTGTGTGTGTGTGTGCATGCCAGCAGAGTGGCCAATTTTAAACCCGCTAAAAGATTAATGCATCAGTCACCAGCAGGAGCTTCCAGAGGTCATGCGGTCTGGATGTGTTTCCCAGACCATGCCGTCCTGCTCACCATAAACGTGCCTGTGGTCATTGGCGGTGGGGGAGGGGACAGAGAATCGGCAACAAAATTCACACAGGTTAGGTAACCCTGTGGCAGGAAATGGCCGCTTCACTGCATCTGGAATCTTAAATTCTTAAAACTCAGTCTGTTTATTCCAGCTCGATGTCTCCAGCCCCCCCAGACCCGTTTGTACACTTTGGGGTAGATTATAAATACGTTCTCACAGCCTCTAAGTAGTGTTGTGTTAATATTTACACACCTGTGCAAATATGAGTACAGTTAAGTTTCTGCCCTCCCCCCCCCTAGCCTGTCTTGTATGTGAACTTGTCATCTTGTTGCTTAAATTCCCAGCTGATTAGATACTCAGGAGCGCCCCCTGGAGTCTAATGGTAGTTCTCCTCCTTGATGGCTCTTGGACATCTGCTTTTGTCATGCTCGTTTTCCTTTGGCTGAGCATGAGCATGTCGGCGATGTCGGGTCCCCGAGTGTCTGCAGAGTGCTGAAGGGCTGCCTGTCCTGTCGGCGTGTGGTTGTCGTATTTGGAGAACTGGTCACGTCTGTCATGCTGCCTATCTCCAGTGGGTGGCAGTAGACGTTGCTTCTGTGTGAATTTTCCGCTCCGGCTGCATAAATGTGCAGGCTACGTACTCATGCCCCTGCCCTCCCCAAAAACGCTGGAGCCTTGTCGGGGGTCTGACAGTTGTGTGCTTTATTGCACTGTCTGACAGTGACCGGGTGCATTAGGCTTGCTAAGGAGGGGAGAGGAGCTCTTTCTCCCGTCAGGGGGTGTGTAGTCCAAGCTGCCCCAGCCTTGCATGACCTTACCTCCTGCATCTTTGATGGAGTGCTTGGTGTCTCATAAAGCGCATTAGGAATTCATCATGGGTATCATGGCTCAGCTATCAGGGCTGGTGTGGGCTTGCCGCACTGACTGTAACCCGACAGCGTGGCTGTGACGGCCCCTCCCATTGGCACCTCGGGGATTTGGCGCGTCGGTCTCGTTACTCTCGCTGATGCAGTTAACAGGACAGAAATGGCTGCTTCCCAGTGGGCCCCACCCTCACCGACTCCAGTGTTTATCTAAAGGGCCGAATCGTCTTGGTAAGGCTTAACAAAGTCAGCTTTCTCAGCTCTCTGAATCAGAGTACTGTTTGCCAGAGATGCTCTTTGGAAATCACCACGGACTTTGACATCGTGCGACTTTAATTACAGGTTCGGTTTACATGCTGATTTTTATCTTTTCGCTTTATGGGCCTCGCTGCAGAAGCTGACGGGGGAGGTGGGGGTTTAAGGCCCGCCCCCTCAGAAGAGGCCCCGCCCACCACACCCCGCCTCCCGGAGATCAGACTCCTATTGTATAAAAGTAGTGACGTAGAAATTGGCCCGGACGTCATACCAAATGAACATGGACACCCTATGTCCCGCTCAGATTGGGGTAATTGGCCCTAATGAAACTCCTTAAGCAGACTGAGGGGCTGTGCAGTGTTGCTTGTGGCCCTGGTGTTGCAGACAGGCATTAGCTAATTCAGCATGCCAACAGTGCGGCTAATTCTCTGGTTAGTTTAGCGCCCTGTGGCCTACCTGGCTTATCCATAGGTGACTGACAAACCCCTCATACAGATTAGTGATGTATCCTGTGTACATAACAAACCCACACAGTTGATTCCTGATTCATGGCTTTTTTTTTTTTTCCCCTCCCCCTCCTCTGCCCCCCAGATTGCTACATTTGCCTCCAGCCCTGCAGCCAAGTGGATGAATCCATAAAGCAGGCCTTCAAGAAGAACTGAGGATTGTGGGCAGAGGTAACTGTGAAAATGAGCCAGGTCCCATGCAGAGGCTTGTACCTGCCCCTGAGCCCCGGCAACCCGAACTGCGACGCTGCATCCTGTGAGGAGTCGGACTCGTTGAAGAGCATCAGCAGCCTGAGCGAAAGCATCCTGACCAGCCCGCTGGATGCGGAAACGTTGGAGTGTGAGGAGGGAGCCGGGCTGGGATCCGCAGCCTTGTCCTCGGGTCCTCGGGTGCCGTGGAAGAGCAACATCACTTTCCTGAAGACCGATCTTGAGGCTTGTAATGGCAACCAGATTCATGTTCTTCAGTTCGACCGTCCTGGCCATGCCGAAGGGAGCCCTCAGTGCCCACTTGACCATGTCCTGAATGAGGAGGCGGGAACACGGGCCGACACGTGTAACAAGAGCTCCGGTGAGGTCCATGGGGACTCTGCCATGTCCACGAGCTCTGAAGACATGGTGATGCGGAGGAGCGGCCAGAGCCTCAGCGACTCCGGCAAGCAGCTCAGCGACTCCCTGCTGGGCCGGTCCACCTGCTGCCCGGCCAGAGCCCCCCACATGGGGACGTCCTCAGCGACGCCCGACATCTGCGAGGGCCTTCTACATAAGACGCACATCTGTGACGTCCATAAAGACCTAGAGACTGGGGCGCGGCAGGAAAGTAGAGATGGGCGACTCCGCAGGGGCTCTCCTGCGAATAAACATCCCTCCAAGATGTCCTTTGAGAACAAGGAGGATGGTGATCTGGCCCTTGACGCGGCGAGCTGTTCCTCACAGCCTCACGGCAGCTTGTCAGACATCCTATTTGGCGAGACCTTCGTATTCTTTGATTCAAATTCCGACTCCAGCTGCAATGCTCAAACCTCTACCCCCGTGCTGGGGTCAAGCAACAAGACCTTCTGCATCCCGCCTTTCGAGTGCCGGTCACATATTAGCCAAGCCGGGTCCAGCAGCCCGGCCCTAGGGCCCAGAGGGCCGCAGCGCGGGACGCCTCCGAATCCGGCCAGAGGCTCCAGGGTGCCGGGTCCCGCCCAGGGAGGATTGGCCAGGCTGGACTCGCGGAGGTTCCCCAAGCTGCCAGACCTCGAGGTCGCGAAGCTCAGGATGACCGCGAAGCCAGTCCCGGCTGGACCACCGAGCAGCGTCTCCGTAAAGGCTGCTGCTGCGGTGTCTGTCACAGGCCCTAAGAAGCCGCCTCCTGCGTCTTCAGCCGGCGCCGGTCAGTCGAGTGCCGGCGGGCCAGATCGGGGCAAACGGCGCCGCTCCTCATCTAGCCAGAACACTGCATTCCCCAGGAAAGCAGACGAAGCTCCCGCCACAAAATCCAAGCGGGGGGCGGCTTCCAGCCCACGAGGCTCCGGCCGGGGCCCGAGGAAGGAGGTGGGGCAGGCGGTGAGCGACAGGAACCCGGTCCGCCGGACCTCCGTGAGTAAAGGATCAGCTTTAAGAAACATGCAACGTTTACTGAACATACTGAACGTGGCTGGAGACCATGAGCAGTAATGAATGTAGCAGTTTCCACTGTGGGGGGCAGATTCCTGCGCTGTGAGTTGGGTGGACCCCCCCTGCCTCCACTGTGTGTAAAAGTCACCGACTGCTTGAGGCTGTTTACTGAAGGGGGGGAGACAGATCCATATTCTGGGGGTGTTTGGGCGTGAATGCAGTGTGACCGTTTACACTGCATTCCTGCTCGCTAACAGTGAGCCCCCTCCTGCAGGTGGTGTCCACAGATGCGTCTGGTGGGAGCTGGTCACCCAGCAGGTCCAAGGCCGTGTCGGCCAGGGGCCTCCAGGCGCCGCACCCCTCGCCCTCTGGGGCCCGGGCCCGGCCTCGGCCTGGAGGAACGCCAGCCAGGGAAAGGCCAAGTGTGGGAGGGGGACTGCGCCTCCCAGTGGGCAGTACTGCGCTCCCTACAGGTGAGTAGCTGACTGGAGGTCTACCTTTAGACATGTCCACGAGAGGGGTGGTTGTGTCTGTGAGAGGGAGGGAGGGAGAGAGAAGGAGAGGCATGGAGGGGGGTGGGAGAGAGAGAGAGAGAGAGCGTGCTCTCAAGACAGGAAAAGCTGCCCACACTGTGGTGTGTCTCGGGGGGGGGGGGAACAGTGGTTGAGGGAATGCCTTCAGCAGCATTCCACCCCCCAGCGCTGAGCGTGTGCTGAAGCCAGCCTGACTGCAGTGAGCGCGGCGCTCAGCGTGAGCTGCTGTTAACGGCGGCAGCTGTGCGTTTGTGTCTGGGAGGGAGCAGAAGCCGGTTATGTAAGCTCTCCCCGGGGCAGCCATGGTGGAAACGGCATGTGCTCCGATTCCCCGTTCTGCCCTCACGGTGCCGCTCGGCTACGGTAAGGACCTGCTCCGTGTGCCGGCTCGGAGTCTCTCTTTCAGACTCCCTTTTCCCCACGTCTCCTTCCCTCCACTTTTCCCATCAGAAGCCGTGTGGAAGTGCGGCGCCGTGCGCGGTGCCGTGCCAGCATACCTAGCCTAGCGGAGCCTGTAACCCAAGCCGCTCCTCCTCCTCCGGGAGGCTATCATGTTCCACAGAACACATCTCCTTTGCACAATTGGCTGCTTGTTTCCTTCCTCTTGCACGGAAAGGGCCGGAAAGCTGAGCCCGTACTAACTGCTCCGCATTGTGCCACACGGCGGATTTATGTTAAGTTTGTGCGTATTCTGCTTTACCGTGACACGAGCTCCGGCCGTGGGCAAACGTACCGCCGCAGGGGCGCTGTGAGGGTGCTTAAAATGTGTGAATCCACCATGTTATTCCCATACTGTGTTTCAGACATGATTCAGGGAGGATGCCAGTATTACTCGAGCAGTGAGGCAGTACCAAAACTGGCCAGTGAGGGGCAGGGGCTTGCAGAGTGCTAATCTGTGCACGACAGCCTTCCTGTTGCTGATGAGCAATGCTGGTGTCTGCAGAGGCCTTGGGGGGGGTTGCTATGGGTACACGTCTGTGTTCTAGAACTTTCCAAGCCACGTAGTGTGAGGGGAAGAGGCTTGGGGCAGGATGGGGGTGGGGGAGGGGGTTTTCCTCTGATGGCGATCCAGTAGTGGCGCCGGGAGGAGGGAGGGGCTGCAGGGTTAGGGTGTTGTAAACACTCAGCTGGCTGGTGCGCCGTGTGCCGGGGCAGCTCCCCTCACCTATTTAAGGAACAATGCCTGTGCTTCAGGATCACGTGGGGGGGGGGGCATGTTTGTGTATCATCGCATAGAGGGAGGTGGGGAGGGATTGTCGTGTGTGGCGGAGAGCTGGGGCTCTGAGAACTAACATGTGCTCCTCAGGGACGCCCAAGATGCGTCTGATGGAGCGTGTCGGTGTCGCCGTCGCAAGCAAGCTGTCCACGAACCCAGGCACCGGGCCAGCCCGACCCACCTCCTCCTCCTCCAGGCTGCCCTTGAAGGGACCCCCGAAAAGCCCCAGCTTCTCGTCCCAGACCAGTAACCGTGGCCCCCAGCCCCTCGTGGCCTCGTCCCAGAGTCCAGGTGAGTGCAGTTTGCAGGAGTCTCTCACTCTAAGGGGAAGGGTCACGGCAGCGAATAGGGAAGGACATTAAAGGCTTCTGCCCAATAGGACCCTGTGTGGTTTCCCAGCCCTGTGCGGGGTGGTCTGCATGAGCACAAGGTCCTGCTTTAATAGCTCTGCTCCTACTGCTCAAATGCAGCTATGTGTTCTCGTGTGTACACTCATCTTATGCTTGCTTTTTTTTCTGCTCACCTCCTGTGCGTCTGCCTCTGTGCGTCTGCCTCTGTGCGTCTGCCTCTGTGCGTCTGCCTCTGTGCGTCTGCCTCTGTGCGTCTGCCTCTGTG